TTCTCTATTTTTTTCCTCTAGCAAATTACAATTAGGCTGCGCGGTCTAACCGCGCCAATTATTATAATGAGTATATTCATTAATATTATAGTAATTAGTCCGAATACGTGTACAAGGGAAATGCATTTATATTCGATGATGGCTTTAATAAATGTTGAAGCTTTTTGATATGTGTGTGTGCCATTAGGATAGAGTTTTCCGATGTTGTCTGCACCCCGTTTGCAGTCGAATAATTATATTTCGTTAATGCCTTTTGTCAGATTCATCCAAATAAACACAAACACACATTCGCAAATGCACACGAATACACGTACGCTGTACGTGTAACCGAGGTGCACGATTTGGGGGTGATTTGCAAATGCGATGCGATACGGCATCGATACACTAATATACATATAATCGAGTTATCCTTGTTGATCAATGCGGATAAATTCAAAGTTCGGGCATGCATCATATATCAATTACAATTTTGGGGAGCGTAAATTTCGTTTAATTTATTTATCGGCGCATCCAAAAACCGACAGTATTGGTGGCTAGCTAGGCATTCGCAAAATAATTAGGTAATCTCTGAATGCGATTCGTGCCGTTTCGAAAATAACGTAATAATAATGTTAATCTAGATTGAAAATAACAGATCAAAAATATAAATCGATGTACGTTGAATGAATGCAGCGAATGACTTTAATCAGCTTACGATAAATACAGCATCCTACATTGTATGTTTAATTTTGTTTGTTAATATCTAATAATAATAATTATTATTCACCTACGAAAACCACCAAATTAAATAGGCTTATATTAATATGTTCTGTATACTTATACTAATTACGCGCGCAACCAAATATATGAAAAGGATCTTCAAGCAGAGCTGTTATTAGGCGAAACATATTGCACTTTAATACTACTAAATGATAAGATTAATTCTAAATAAACTACAAAACTATATAATTCTTAACCTTTTAGTAATTAATTTTTAAATAAAACAAAATAATTTGAACAAGAAAACTGAATACTATACTTGAAAAGTACTTGAAAAGAACTTTTTGGTGCGCGGCCCCCTTTTGGACGTAAAAAGTATTTGCGACCCCCGAAGAATGGATATGTGTAGAAAAACAACCAGAATTGATCTGTCCTTAATATTTTGTGACCCACACTTTGAGAATCTCTGTTACCACTGAAAGAGATTTCTTCTTACTAAAACTAGAAGTTTTACTAACTTTTGATTTTTTTTTAATAACTACTATGTTACTAAAACTATTCTAAAACATACTCCAACTAATACATAAATCTATTAATATTAATTACTTGTAATTATTCTAAATTAAGAAAAGTTGTAAATGATTTGGTAGAACCTGCATTAATTTGGGCAAAGTGAACATAATTATATGTAACTTTTAATTATCCTTAAGAACCAAAATGTATAGAAGATTTATTAGCAACTATAAATAAAATTTAATAAATCTGTACTCAACTAAAATCTTTTATTAATATATAAATATACTGTAGTAATTTAGTATTAAATTATTTACCAATAATTGTAATAAAAGAATCAAAATTATTCAACGATTCTAATCATAATGCCTCAGATAGTTTTGAACAAGTACAAGGGTATATTATGAACAAGAACACTATATCAAGAATTTGTAATCCCCGAAGAGGTAATTACAAATTTATCTACGAATATATAGGGATGCTCTATTCACGAATAAATGTACCATAGACTTATTGGATTATAGCCTAAACCTAAATGAATAAAATAGTATAAATACATATTTTATCTTTTAACTGAATTGATGATACTTTCTTGACAATTAATTAAATTGACCACCCTAATTTCATCAATTATCAAAATATATACATTTATTGAACAATTTTTTGAAACTAAATTAAATATTTAGGAAATACAACTCAATTATATAAAGCTACAAGTTATATGAAATTAATTAATTAAATAATTTAGTACAGAAGCAGTGAATGAAAATGTTTAATTCTGTTTTTGACTTCTGTAATAAATATTATTATTATTAACTATTATTATATTGAATGTTTTCAGTTATTCAATAATAGTTGTGATGTGAAAATATTGTAATATTTAAAAGATTTAATTTCATTCATTATTTGTAAGCAGGGCGACTAATAACCGAATGGTTTAGTTGCCCAATCCAAGATTCCGTGGGCGCCGGTTCGAATCCTGGTCAAGCCCTTTTGTAAGCTCTCTCGGTACTTGCAGCAACCTTCATCATGAATGGACAGTTAAATGAAAGAGGTTCATCAGCATATGGACCTTCAGCCAAGTCGATGTTAAGGATAGCAGCAGATATACAAAGGGGATAGCAGAATCGCAAAACATCAATACTGAAGTAAACCTACAAGACGGCAGCCAACCAACAAATTACAGAAGAATATAATGGTAAAAACTTCTATTGGGAAGTTTACCAAAAAACAAATGTCTACCGCCATTAGATTTATTTAATAATCGCAGGAATAAGATTGTAAATTAATTATACTATGACTTAATAAAAAAAAATATTTGTAAGCAAACGAAACATAAAGACATTAAAATCTATAGACGAAAAAATCATAATAATAGTAATTAATTAGCATAACTCTATTGGTTCATTTAATCCGTTTTCATAAATTTGCATTATTTCATAATTACGAAATAGGATGAATGTAAAATAAAAAGTTCAATTGAATTGCATAAATTTCTCTGCACAATGCAGAATTAAATATTTTTTTATTTTACATATATATAAATATGAATGTAATTCATTCATTTGCTTTTGGTGTTTTCAGATCAGTGCATTATTAAATATCCACGTATCGAAATGACTAATAATGGACCTCATTGTGTTATAAATACTAATTGGATGATAAATCAAATTATGCATTTGGGCTCCATATGAGCAGTTCGAATGTTCAGCACTAATTAATAATAAATATAATGGAATTACGTAAATATCGTTTTAAAATTGCATTATTTGATTAAAGGGACCGAACGCGTTTTCAATCTGTTTGTCTGTCTATATATTAATATACGTTAATATCAATTTAATTGCATTTGCCGAAAAGTTTTGTTCGCTTTTATTTTATTGTACTGTAGAAATGTATGTGTGCAAATAATATTATTAATAATCGAAGTTATTTGCATGCACCGAGATAATTAACAAAATATCTACATTATTGCGACAGATCCTTTGTTGCAAAGGTTGTTTTTGATCGGGAATGACGAGCTTTGTTGAAATGAAAATTGATGTAACAAATTCTAAAGGATTCTATGCGCATAAAGGGCCGTATGATAGATACACTTTTAATGGAATGCGTTCTTTGGATCCATGCACTTCCTGTCGTGACTTTGGCTAAGTGGATTTTCATTTTGTTACGAGGACTGCAGCGAAATCCATTATGGGTTTCGTATGATTTCAAAGGGATATCCAGTTCTCACTAAGTGACAATGGCTAAGAACAAAAAATCAAAGTAGAAAATTGCACATTAATGTATTTTGACCATTTGTGAATAAGACTTGTTAATTTACATCTGAGCTATATCAATGCTTAAAAGTTCAATTAGATTATTTAATTTATTCTATTTATATTAAAAATACATTTTCTATGTCATCACATCACATCTTGATTATAATAGAAATATCGATCAGAATATTTCTTTTAGTCTTTATAAAACTTCTTATACATCAAACACATCTACACAAACACATCTTCTTTACTTTAAGTCAATTTGACGCATATCAACCAAAGTTTATACAAGTTGTTAACTAGAGTCAAACTATTGTGTTATTAAATTCCTTTGATACCCAAAATTGTTTTGATTTAACTAGTAAAATAATATCTTATTATATTATAAATTTAAATTTTTATCAGTCTTACAAAGAGTTTTTATTTTTAGTTTCTCGAATATCCCGGTTACAAACAGGATAGGATATTTTTGGAACCTATTACCCGCACTATGCGAGGTATTTCTCTATATTGCACTTTTTATCATCAAAATGCATCTAAAATGTAGCAATGTTTAAGGTGTACTTATGTAACCTTTACTCTTTAATAGTCGTACACGATATGTAATCCTCTTATATGTAATATTGGTTGCATATATAATTTTACATTTTTCCACAAAGGCTAATGAAGAGAACTAAGTTACTACTTTACTTCAACGAAATATATTATGTACATTACTACTCAGTAAACACATATTTGTATTTTAGATGGTTAGTAGTTCTAGTACATTTTTTCAGTTAATACCGAAATTTGTATATCCAATTCACAATAAATTGCATATACATAAAGTATGGAATAGTCAGAACTAGATCTGGGCAGTTGTTTAGGCAATACCCGAAATTTACATATTGAATTGAACATATGCATCGGATGAGTGGAGTATATGTAAGCTAATTGGCTCGATATGCTGTTGCCTCAGAACGCTCGTTTGTAACTATGGAGGAAAATGTATGACAATTTTAACAAGAAACTGAAAAATAAAAAATGGTAAAGTAATAAAAAAAAAATATATAGAACTTTTATAAGCCATCAATAGGCCCGTCGACCAACGGTCTTTTAGTCAGAATATCCCTATTAATGCCGAATTACAAGTTTGCACAATGATGGCGTATCGTTGGAACGTGTAAGCTTATTGGGACTATATCGTCGGATCCGGGCCATGATTTAGGAGATCCCGAAAGAAAGTTTGCACCTAGGTTTGTCTACTTAAGGAACGTCGGACGTGTTGTTTGTTTAATTTTGAGAGTCCCGCGTAAAACCGGGACCTGGTGTTCGTGTTCGATCAATATGTCGAACGAGCGGAGCGAGCGAGAGGGGATGGAGGAGGCAAGGGCGGGGTGGCGTGCTGTGCTGTGGCGCGGCATGTCGTGGCGTGCTGTGGCGGAGCATGTCTGTGTGTGTGTGTGTATATGAGAGAGAAAGAGATATAAAGGGTGGGATAGAAAGGGAGAGAGAGAGAGAGGGTGCGAAAGGGCGGAGGAGCGGCGCGGCGCGACGGAGTTGGCAGAGTACGAACGGCCGCCCTTCCGAGCGAGTTAGGTGGAGGCTGGTGGCTGGCTTGCAGCCTAGGTTTTCCGACCGGACTGGATGGGCCGAGATCCTCCGACGAGTGCCCTGTGTGCGTCTGTACTATACTACTATAGAATGATGTGCGTGACGAAGAAGTGTGCCTGGATGTATGGATGTGCGTGTGGTCCGGTGCTGTTGTCCTTCCCCCATTAAATTAAACTAGTAATATACAAATAAGGAAAATAATCGAAAAAAAAACTGACTAAGGCTGCATCGGAATTGAACCCCTCCTCTGAAATCAGGGCAGGAAATCTTAGAGCTCCTAGAGGATTATTTCGGCGGAGGCGCCGGGCCATAAAAGCAAGGTGTGTTCTGCGCATGGGGTTTCCTGTATTTCTTTATTCATTTAACAAAAAAAAATCTTACTTAAACAATATCATTCCAAAAACTTCATTTGATCGTTTAATTTAATAATTGGTAGCCTTCAGTTAATACAACCATTAATCGTTCTCGCTTCTTACATACATCAAACATAAGAATTTACTTGCCTTAAAACTAATTTCCAACGTGTTCCTAATCGATGTCTCGAATTCATAGAATGATTGATAGGCCACCTCCACCCGTCGACCTCATCCATTATTACCATAAACACTCCATAAATATTAGAGTTTCACCGAAACATCACTTAATTTAATCGAATTCCGCCCCAATTTTCTTACAACCTTCAACCATATTTCTCAAATCTTGGGTTTTATTTAAATATATTTTTTTGCTTATACTTCTCCACTTTGTGCAAACATCATCATTCCAGAACAAAATTTCAATTGCTTGATTAATGGAATTGCTGGAAATCCGCCGCAATTACGCCACAGCCGCCCCTTAATTAATGGTCGGAAATTATGCGTTCCCTGTCGGATCGTGTCTATGGATATGTATTGAATATATATATATATAGTTATATGCAGTAATGCCTAATTATTATTCCACAGTTCATCGCAGCAATGCATGAAAGCCCAATTAACCGAAAATAGTTGCAAGCGCTTCTTCCAAGTCCATGAATTTGAAAATGCGAAATTAACACAAAAATAAAATAAAAGATCGTGACAGAATTAATTGAACAAACGAAACAAGGATCTGCTGATTCATTGAATATTAATTAAATTCCGAAAGCCTTTGCGCTTTTGGATTGAATGTGAAAACCTGAAAACTGTCCGACTGAAAATAAATTCCTTTGATGTACTCGGTCTATTTATGAATGCATTTAATTCCGATTTGGATTTTCATTGAACAAATAGCGTATATAATAGTTCTTTATGTTTTACTTGCTTTTTTTTATTATTATTAAGTCTTTAGAATTATTCGCTCGGAACTAATCGATTCGCATTAACCGAGGGGATGCAAATTGAAAATACGGAAATCTTTTGTGGAGGATTACAAATAACCTATCCATTCTTTTTTTTATTATACGTTGCTCTTGGTTCTGTAACATTTCTTTATATTTCGAGTGTGTACGTTTGCGGGGGTGTATAGTGGGCATTAAATCAAGTGGGCTGTCTTGCTGTTGTCTCCATAAATAAAATTAGTGGGTTAACTAAGACATCCTTGTAGCTACTCCTGCTTTTCCAAATTAATTGCTTGCACACACAACCCCCTCGGCACGGAATCCCTAATTCTTCGGGTTCATTAATTAATTCTCGTCCTAAGAGAGAAAAAAAATGGCAAGCACACACACAAACACACAATGAAGAAACGAAACATGAACCTCTTAACATGTGACTTATGGTAATTATATTTTCAGGAGAATCAGCAATGAGGTTGCGCTAGCTGAAGGTATGGGATCGTCGGAATGGGAATGTGTACTGACCCAGGGGGCAAGTCTCGTCCACTGACAGGCATCACCAATATATTGCTAGCTGCTGTCTTTGCCTTCCTGGCCGTATTTACAGACATCGGTAAGTGAACAATCATCACATTCTTGGCATGAATATTAACAAAAAAAAAACACCTGTTTCAGGCTTGTGCTTTCAAGATGCCGTTCATATCACAGCAATATTGGGTGAGTCGGTGGTGTTCAATTGCCACGTCGAATTCCCGGAAGGACATCCGGTGCCATTTGTGTTACAGTGGGAGAAGAAGGTAGGCGAAACGGTACGTGTTCTTAATTCCTCTCAGCACTACTATTTCCACTATTGCTGCTGCTACTACTACTGGTACTCCTTAAGTACTCGCTGATACAAAGAAACAAAAAAACTTCTTCCAATTGGTGATGGTGATAAAAGAATAAACAAAATTTACGTTTGTAGCAAAAAAAATAATTCAAATAACATTTAGTTGACTATTGTTTTGTATATTATGTAGTCGTAGAACTAATTGTTTCATATCTGCTTTACTTTTAAACCGTGCCTAAATCCGTGCAATTTATTATTTCCATCCACCTTCTTTCTATTTTCTTCGACACTCTTTATTCCCATATTTTTTTATTCGTTGCTTAGATTAATAATTAGTTTATTTTTTTAATAGCAAACCTATGATTTAGTATATAAAGGCGTGATATTGATTTAAAAGTATGTTTGTAATGTATATATTATACAGACCACATTTTCTCTGAATATTGAATAATTAAGTAAATTACCAACTGATTAATCTAAGGAACATTATGTCTTGTCTATTATGATATTATAGATGTTACGACAATTGATAGAATTCATTGTCAGAACTATCTATCGCGTTGATAATACAGACACTGATGTAATGATCTCATTGTAATATAATAATTGCTGTATAATAAAATATGTAGTTTTCTTGTCTTGATACTATAGATCAGGGTTTCCCAAACTATGTTCCGCCTTAAGTGAAAATCTGGAATAATTAATGTATATTTTTTTGTCCGTTTTTTTTAATTTATAAAGGTGTTTTGTGAAAATTTTAGGATTTACGAAGTGTTCCGTTGCAGGAAAAGTTTGGGAAAGCCTGCTATAGATAGTAGTAGCGATTACGTTAATATATATTTTCTTGGGTGTCATAAAAATAGAACTCGTTTGTTCTGGGTATTAATATTTGAAATTTAAAATGGTAATTTTAATTTTGTTTTAGTTCAAATTGTGTTAGTATTAGTACGTGTGTAGATTAAGCAGAAAAGTAAAAAGTAATAATAACAATGACTTTAGTTTTTGTGGATGTATAATATAAGAGTATGTGAATGAGCGTGTTTGGTGTTTTTGCTTTTAATAAAGCATGCTCGAAGTTATTTCGGTTATGAAATATGAAAATTTTGTTAAGCGGCAGGACATTCCCATCTATATTTGGTATGAGAGCTATCCGACCCACAGCGGCGAGGGATACGAGGAAAGGGTGTCACGGGTCTCACCGGACTCGCCCTACGGAGCGGCATCCCTTAACTTGACCAATATTCGAGAGTCCGATCAAGGATGGTGAGTGAAAGAAGTAGAGGAGTTATAATGAATACATAATCAATGGCGTTCTTTTGTTGTTGTACATGTAGGTATGAGTGTAAGGTGGTGTTCCTCAATCGGTCGCCCAACTCGCACAAGAACGGCACATGGTTCCACCTCGACGTCCACGCTCCACCACGGTTCATCCAAACCCCAGAAGATACAATCTACGTGAATTTAGGAGATGCGATCATCTTGAATTGCCAGGCAGAGGGTACGCCGACCCCCGAAATCCTCTGGTATAAAGATGCAAACCCCGTAGATCCATCTGCGACTATAGGAATCTTCAACGATGGCACCGAGCTGCGGATCTCAAACATACGGCACGAAGACATCGGCGATTACACGTGCATCGCCCGCAACGGCGAGGGTCAGATCTCGAACACTGCCCGCGTGATCATAGCCGGCGGTGCCGTTATCATGGTGCCGCCGACCAATCAGACAAAACTCGAGGGTGAAAAGGTGCAGTTCAGCTGCGAGGCGAAGGCCCTACCAGGAAACGTGACAGTCAAATGGTTCCGTGAGGGTGCTCCAGTGAAGGAAGTCACGGCGCTAGAAACACGCGTCACTATCCGCAAAGACGGCGCACTCGTCGTAAACCCAGTGAGCGCCGACGACTCCGGCCAGTACTTGTGCGAAGTCAGCAACGGAATCGGAGAACCGCAGTCAGCCTCAGCCTATCTCAACGTCGAATGTACGTCTTGTTCATTAGCGTTTGAAAACGCAAATAGCCTGAAACATCAAATTACATTTCCGAATTTACGTTTCAGATCCAGCCAAGGTGACTTTCACCCCGACCGTTCAGTACCTACCGTTCCGTTTGGCTGGGGTCGTCCAATGTTACATCAAAGCGAATCCGCCCTTGCAATATGTAACTTGGACTAAAGACAAGCGTTTGCTCGAACCCTACCAAACGAAAGACATAGTGATAATGAACAACGGTTCGCTACTCTTCACACGCGTTAACCAGAACCATCAGGGTCGTTACACCTGCACTCCGTATAACGCGCAAGGCACCCAAGGATCGTCCGGACCCATGGAGGTGCTCGTTAGGAAACCTCCGGTCTTCACCATCGAACCAGAGGCTATGTACCAGAGGAAAGTGGGCGAAACGGTAGAAATGCATTGCGAAGCCCAAGAAGCCGAGGGTACACAAAAACCTAATATCCAGTGGCAGCGAAGGGACGGCGCACCGCTGCAGAAAAATAGAGTCCGAGTAACAGGAGGAAACATCACCATAGAGTCGTTGCGACGTTCCGATTTCGGTTTTTACCAATGCGTAGCTTCTAATGAAGTGGCCACTATTGTCACGGCTACCCAACTTGTCGTTGAAGGGACTCAACCCCATGCGCCTTACAATCTAAGCGGTGTAGCCTCCGAGTTCGCCGTAACACTAAGTTGGCTCCCCGGCTACAGCGGAGGACCCGACTACAAGCAGGATTACACGATCTGGTATCGAGAAGCAGGCGTTTCCGAATGGTCTACCATCCCTGTAACACCTTCTGGTAGCATGCAAGTGACTATAAATCGTCTTGCACCTGGCACCACCTACGAGTTTCAAGTCATCGGAAAGAACGCGCTCGGCGATGGCATGATGAGCAAAGTGATCACCGCTCGAACATTAGGTGAGGTTATAATTCTTATCATCGTCATCGAAGACGTACCATCATCTTAAACAACGAATTCGCTAACTGTACTGAATATGTTTCTTTTTTCTCTCTTTCGTTAAAAATTTAATTGCTCACTATTGGATAAGAAGTGGGATTACCGCATAAGGTGCAAGTAACCCCGACACCGTTCTTGCCAGCCAGCGACGACGCCGGTAAGATTTTCCACATCAGAAACCTTAAATGCTACGAAAACTCAGTTTCGTATCAAATACAATTTTCCGGCTGAATCGATTGAGTTCCATCAGTTCTATTTCTATCGGGTCAAGGTTGTTTCACCCTTGGCTGTGTGTGTTTTTTATGTATGTATATATGTATTTATATATATACATACATACAAACACTACTTGCAGCACGCAATTCACGAATTCAGTACAGAATGATCTAAAATTTAATTTCATACTTAATCATTAATAGAGAACACACGATCGTCATCATCATCCATTCATCGTTACCAAATACATTCATTTATTTTTTATAATTATGATTCCTCTTACCTGTTTATTTCTTTATTACATATTTTCCTTTTTGTTTCTTTTTTATTTTATTTCCAGATGTTTTAGATTATAGTATTATTATTTTGCCGACGGACTCAACGGGAGCCGTATTTTTACCACCAGTTTTGAAGCCCAAAGGTATTAATTAAATCCCCACGAAAATAGATGCGTTTTGTATTAAAAAAAAATCCTCTTTGTTGATTATTGTTGTTCTATCGTTGATATTTCTTCACTTCTTTCTGTCTCTATATCTTTAATCATTCTGTGCTGAATATAACAATTTACTTCTAAATACAAGATATATTATAATATGTTGCTTACAAACTGGATCATTTATATGCGTTTCTAATTGATATATTTTATTTGACAGAAACTGATTTCATTTTGATTTCCGTCGGTCGTCTAGATGTAATTGGGATTATAATATTATTGGACGTGTGAACAAGATCACGTCTTTATACCAATTTAATTAATAAGAATTAGTATTAAGCACGTCTGACTTTTTAAACTTATCAAACTATTATAAAGTGATGAAAAGTTTCCTATTGTAATATACCTTGTAAACTAATTATGAATTAGCTATTAATTTAGTTTGGAAGTGTATTTATCCTCTTTTTACTGCCGAGTTTAGATGCTGCCATAACAAAATAACGAACTTCCATCTAACAATCTCTGATATTTATATATTTATTTATTTATTTGTAATTAATAATGTTTCGAAAAAAAAAGAGCAATCTGACTAAACGGAAATGTTTTGAACATGAATATCGCCTATTGTTAATAGGTTGCGAGTTGAAATGTATAGTCAATCTAATTAATGAAATTTTTTGATTGTTTGTCCACGTACAGGACCCAAACCTGGACCACCGAGGAATCTAACGGTAACGGAAATACCGAATGGTTTTCTTATAACTTGGCAACCGCCGATTGAGCGGTCTCAGCTAATCCAATACTACACCATCAAATACCGCACTGACGGACCATGGAAGAATCTGAACAAGAATTCGATAAGGCCAGAGGATACGCAATATTTAGGTAAGATATTACAGACTATCAATCACGAATAGAAGTGCTGATCGCAAAAGTAACTTGCGCTTACAGTTAAGAACCTGGTTGGAGGAAGGACGTACTACTTCAGGGTGTTGGCGAATTCGTTGAAGAGCTACGAGAGCAGCGAAGAGGTAAAGTTTCCGGTTCCGGCGCGCGTCAAACACAAAGCCATCACTGCAGGCGTGGTCGGGGGAATTCTGTTCTTCATCGTTGCAATAATTCTGTCCGTCTGCGCCGTCAAGATTTGCAATAAACGCAAGCGGCGGAAACAGGAGAAAGGTAAAATCATCAAAAAAAGAAGGTGGAAGCCTTCCATGAAATTGAAGACTAATTTGAATTTTGCAGCTTACAACATGGTGGCGTGTCGAATTACGGACTCGAGGAACGGTGGAGGAAATGCATCAGATAGTCAAGTGCCTTTGAAAAAGTAGGTTTACCATTTCGACCCTTTCCAATCACTTTTAACACACAAATATTTACCTCCTCTGTCGTTTATTTGATTTGTTTATTTTTTTTATATTTTACATTTAAATCCATTATTTTTGCGTTCCTTCCATTACGTTTTTCAAATTTCGTTAAATTTTATTTTTGTTTCTTCTTGTTTTACCCTTCCTGTTTTTTTGGAACGTACAACAAAAACAGATTTAACAGAATTACGCCTCTCAGCAAACACAAACTCTCAAAGCCCATGTGTAAATTTCTATTGGTTTATTTTGTAAGAAGGAATTGTTTGTTGTCTTGTAGGACGGTTGAATCAGAGTCCTATCGGGATTACGAGAGCGTGTTTATTATTCCTGGGACAAGCGTAGACACGAACCGTAAGGCTAACACGATTCCACCACCGGACATAACGAGCGATTTTAATTTGAAATAACTGTCATTCGAATCTTCTCCTCTTTCTATATATATGCAAATGAAACAAAACTAATCTATATATATATATCTACCGCAATTAAACCGACTTAAATAGCGATTACGACGGTGGAATTTGTAAAACTACTTACTCTTAGATTTAATTTAGATAATTTTAAAACAGATCAGAAACCAGCAGAATACATACATATAAACATTAGAGAATTCATTAGTTCTTTCTTTCGTTACCTATACTTTGTACTTCTGCTTGTTTCGATGTCGGCTCTTTATACATATTCTTTGTTTATATTTTATTTAATTTAAGTGTGCTTCATTTGTTCCTGGAATGCGCGATCGATAGGGTCGTTCTGTCTGTTGTCTGTTATTATTTCATTATCTCTCTTTAGCAATTATTTAATTGCATTTATTTCATTCTCCCCGTTTCATTTTCTTCCTTTAATTTTTTACCTTTCCACTTAGGATTTTCATTTAGTTCATATTTTTCCCTTACACCGAGATTCATTTATTTTTCTTTAATTAATTGCGTTTGATTTTATTTTTCACATTTCCGGATGTTTTGTTGTTTTTGAAACTTTGCGTCTATTTCTGTGTCTGTTTCTGTATCTCTCAGTCTCTGATCCCAACAATGTGTTACAATTGCTCGCCCGCTCGCGTGGAACAGGAGGAAAAAAGGTGAAGGGATGCGATGAGCCTGTTGACAGCATCTACACATCATCTGTTCGCACTGTCACATGTATATTAGCTCATTTTGTTTACCAAGTACCGAAAAACGAATAATATTCAATCACTTTATTTTTTTGCGTTTCGCTTCAAAAGAACTATTATACATCACGCACTTTGTATTGGAATGAGTTGCTCAAGTTTTTACTTTATTTTTTAATAATTAAACAAGAAATAATTTGCAGCAGTTTGATTTTTAAATTGAATAGATTCATCTATTGGTTTTATTTTAGAGAAGCATGCTTAGATTATCGCATTTGAAAAATTTGATTGTGAATGAGCTATTTGCGGATCGAATTAGTTTTGGAATGCTGCTGTTTGTAGTTGGAGTAATTTATGGAAGCGCTCATCAATTTTTTCCATTTGATGAGATTGATGAGCGTTTCGTGTTTGCCGTAATTGAGATCTAATTGTTTGCGATTTGTGTGTTTAATGTAGACTTAGAAAAGGCCGAATACCAGGTGTGAACGTGCTCGCTTTCGTGGTGAATTGGGTGTGGCCGAAGGACAGGTGCCGATCGAGCAGTGGTAGTAGTTTGAATTGGTCTCACCGCCACCACCATCTTCACCACCATCACCATCACCATTCAGACTACCTTCAGGCCCCATCGAAATCCCTGGGCAGAATATCGAGGACGGCTGACGGTCGTTTCGTGCTGGGCGACTCATCTTTGAGGGCCGAGAGTTTGTCAAACATCTCGAGCAGCGATGACGGGGGCTTCCTCACGCGAAGATCCATACCTAACAGGGCATCCTGGAGGAAACCGCTGATCGGATATCCAAGCGAGCTAAGCTTAAGATCGGACGCTTCCGGACAGAGTGCGCGTATTGTTTCCGGTTATCTGGGCGGTTTGTATCCTGTGAAACCGATTCCGACTATCTACGGAAGCCAGATCCAATCGAGCTCACCCGTGCAGGTGCTGTCACCATGGACACCGTACTTCAGTGATCTCAGCTCGGTTCGGTATCCTAGCAGCGCGGAACGCTCATACCCGACGCCCCCCGGATTCGTGCAACTGAGATCCGTGCACGAAAGGTACTCTCAAGAGTTGCCCAGTTTACGGGCGATACACGAGGAATCTCAAGGATTCATACCAGTCCATCCCATCAGGGAGAGTCCCCGTATCCGTGGACCGTACTCGAGATCACGAGCCAAGCTTCTTCCGAGACACGCGCGTATCGCCAGAAGCGCCCCCGAACTGGGCTCACCATCAGACAGATCACCAGAGAGTCGATCCAGCTCCAGCGGTTTCGGTTCCAAGAATACATCGCAAACCCAGAACCAGAGCTCTCAAAGTGGCAGCACCTTCATGGAATGGAAGTTGCCACCCTACAGACCGCCTCCGCCACCACCATCAGCCACCCTCCCGCCACCACCACCTTTAGTCACCCACTGGCTAGAGCTGACGTCATCTTCTCCATCCACGTCCGAGCACAAAGCTGTGGACGTCGGCAGCGTCGATGGTCATTACGAATTCGATCCATCCACTCCAACGCCCACAGCAAGCACTCCAACTGGTCCTCGCGAAATCGACTTCGACGCTCCAACATTTCGCAAAAATTACGGCCCAACATCCATCCGCTCCATACGGTACGACAACATCGATGCCCGAGTGCAAGCCATGAAAGAGGAATTCAACGAGTTTAGGAAGAGACAAGCGAAACGCCGCCGAAGCCACGAACTCGAGAGTGCGTGCTAACACTTGCCCCAAAACTCCCAACCCCTTCGAAAAAAAATAAAAAGAAGAAGAAAAACGCAAGCACCATAAACGAATGAACAACATTAAAAAATGTTCTTAGTGTGATTAACCATGTTCTAAATTAAACGCAAAGGAGGTAAGAAAGAACCAAAAAACAAGTATATATATAACAAGTTTAAAAAAGCAACGTAAAACGAAACCACCGCAACAGACTTTAACTATCTCTATCTATCTCTCTCTCTCTCTCACTCTTTCTCTTAAACTATATAAATTAAAACATTTCTAATTAAACACACTTACATCTACTAAAAATTCATATATAAATTGAATAATATGAAAAAAAAAAAAAAAGGTTGGTTTATTTCTACTGTAGACGTACCCTGTAAGTTTAAATAATGAAAGAAAATATGAAGAAGCTCAATTTTTCGAAACACATTATAATAATATAAAAAAGAAAATATCGAAGAACGGAACCAACGCGATACATTTTTTACGACTCTCCCAAAACCCCCGAGAAAGTTTTGTATCGTGAAAATAAGTAAGTAAAATCAATTTATAATCGTGATATCTTTGTTAGGCCGTATACAATTCGAAGAAATTTTCCTTGTTAAGAAAAGAAAAATGCGAAAAAATATGATATATTTAAAAGAAATTGAATATATTAAAAACGGTGAAATAAAAAATATAAAAGGAAATTGAATAGTAAACGAAGAGCAATATTTTCTACTAGATGATCTAGTTTTTATTTGCCTACCGTGAATTTTCCAGCGATCGTGAAGTTTCCTACAAATAAACAAACAAACAAAAAAACGCGAGATCCAAATAAATTTTCATTTGGAGCATATTTCTTCGGTGGAAAATTAGGTAATTTAAATAAATAAATAAATTAAAAAAAAGTAAAGAAAAAAATAATATGAATATATATTAAAGAATAAACAAAACGGTGCCTTTTACACCTTAACAAAGCTTACCCTGATTGTAAGAACTCTTTGTATCAAAGGAAGAAGAAGAAATCGTATGAAATGAAGTGATTGAAGTCAATAGATTTTGTCCAGGAAAGTTGTGTTTGTTTTATAAATAAATTTATAAATGCCGTTGGTTCCGTTCGCAACAAAAAAAAATCGTACTATAAAAAAAACGAATTTTAGTTGAATTTTTGTACATATTTCTAATGAAAGGAATGATGATAAATTTACAAAATAACCTAGGTATGTAGCGGATTTTTTTTTGATGAAAGCTAAATGTGGAAACTGTGAACTTTCCTTTCGACATTGCTGAATTCAGTTGAGTTGATCGAGATGAAGGATTAATTAGACTAAATATGATTAATTATCGAAGGAACGTTCAGTTCCATATTTGGCTTCTATCAATAAAGAACAGACTTGAAATGGGATCGTGAATTGTCGAGAGGAAGAAATCTCGACGTTTTAACCATTGTATTTACTATAAGAGATAACGGAGCAGGAAGTATTGGAAGTTTAGACGCGATTTGATTGTTCTTTCCAATCGACGATGGGACGACGATTCATATCGGGAATCGCCCCAAAAAGTAAAGAAGTAATCGTCTATTGTTTTTGATCGACTCGATATGCGATAGACGATTATGCACGTGAACACTTACACAACAACAAAATACTTAAACATTAAACACAAAACACTTCATTACTTAATGAATAATAAATACAAATAAATTCTTAAACGCTTTAGCGCGCGGCCAAAGTCGCGACCAACTTACACAGGCTGTTGCGTAAAAAAACATTTTATGATAATATATACATATAAAAAAAAACGTAAGTAAAAATTCGTAAGAGAAAAAAAAACACTTTAATATTAAACAAATTTATTATTACGGTCAGGAAAGGATATGAAGCAAAAAAAATATATATAGATGTTTTAATTAGGATATAACATGTATTTACGAGCTCAAAGTGAAGGGCAAGAAGATGATGAGGAAGTTCGAAGAAAAGGTTACATTGAAATATTAATAATACGAAGTTCTTAAATCTCTCTATCTCTCTCTCTATCTGCAACACGAAACTTGTATTCATCCGAATATGTACACACTGACACAAGTACACGACACACGATGATTTTGCGTTTCGATTCGTCGATCTTCATTAGTAACAAAGTTTATAGTACAATTAGAGTTATTATTGTTTCGTACGTTTTACTTTCTTATCTTTTAGTTTGTATATCCTGGATGCAAGGAACGTTTTTCATTGTTTTTCTGAGCGCGAATGGGACTGAATGAATGTGGAATACACAAAACACACACAACACATGTACTCTATATAAACTTGAAATGAATCACAGAGAACGGTACACTCACCCATTGTGAAAAAAAGTCACACGAACTTCTTTCCACGAAACGATAATTCTAAAATTTAAGTTTTAAGCTGAAAGTCAACAAAACAACATAACCGATTATGTAATACGTCTTGCCTTCAAAGAGGAAAACAAAAATGATCATAATTTTGTGTGTTCGCATTAATAATTATTTTCCTTAATTATTATTTTTGTTTACTTAATTATTTGTAGATATTTATATTAAATGTTTTTGATTATTGTATAATGCGTATTTATTTGTTTTTGTTTATTACTTTATTTTATTAATACAATCTAACTCGATTATAGCAACAACTTGGATTACGCTATAAACGAGTTTGATTATATTTATTTTTGATATATAAAAGTTCGATTTGTTTTCGACTATTTTATGAACGAGTTTTCACGATTTATTTTTATTTTTTTTTGTAAATGCTATTAGGAGAAAGATGAATTATGTATATGTAATCTGTTACGAATCGATTTGATTTCTATAAATTTATTGTATAAAAGAAATATATATGAAACAAAAAAAAATAATAATATTATATCACACGAAATATTCTAAATCTCTAAAACTATTTATTATTTTTATAAATTATTGTTGTCCAGTTTTATTTTTCTCTTCAATATATAAATATATAATATATATATATTTTCTTTTCTGTATGATTTCAAGGTTAATAATTCTCTGGAATGAACGAGGAATAAAAAAAATATGATCTTGACAAAAAAAGTATAATTATTGATATATTTAGAATGTAGCATATATATTTTTAGTTGTAAGTGTTGAGTAGAAGACAGTTGTTACTATGTAACTGCGCTCTATTTAAAAGAAGAAAAGATGATGACAAAATAACGAGCAAAGAGGATGATGAGGAAACCAAAAAAAAATGGATTTACTACGATGCATCATCACATCATTTGGAAACACTGAAAATGGTGACGACAACAACAACAACAGAACATACAAGTAAATAAATGAATAAAGAAAAAAAATCTTAAATAAACACCACCATTACTTTTTTTTTCTCTCTCTCTCTATTTGAATACTTAATAATACATCCTCCTACGTTCCATGCAAATTGCACCAAAGTTCCTGTTCTACTTTTCCCAGCATTTTCAATCCAATTATGCAATTACGCTTGTGTTTAAATACGCCAACAGTAATCAATTTAAAATTAGCAACTTCCTAGACCTTAATGGATTCAACATTAAACTGACTGTTGCAAAAGCACCAACAAACACAATCATTGCTTTTTTTTGTACTTGTGAAAGTATACGACATTTGAAACTAACATAATTTGATCATCTATATAAGACTTTCTTATGTAATTTCAACAAATCATTTTTTATAGATATTCCCATAATTTGTTACGTCAGAATTGTAATATTTTGTATATGAAATATGAATTTTCTATCTCCAAGACAACAATCCATGTACAGTGGAACCTCGCTTAATGAGCACCTCGCATAACGAGCAAAATGATTTGTAAGAAAAATGACTCGCTTAACGAGCGATGTTTCGCATAACGAGCGACGATGATAAGAAAAGTCCCGGATTGCGAGCCTGTTACATCATTTTTAAAACTGGTGTACACATATTATTTGTACTTATGAATATGTTTCACAATACGAGTAAAAATCCGAAAATTTTTGAACGGATTAAACTCGTTAAGCGAGGTTCCACTGTATTTACTATTTCTTATGAATAAAACTATTGCTGGAACACACATAACTTCTAAGAATAAAGTACATACATAATTATTTAAATATTTCCATTTAAATGCATCATATTGAAAATTCGTAGAAAGAATATACCGCAAGGATTATTTAGGAACAGTTTAATTCATCATTTCATTTTATACAACCAATTTAACGTTGTTGAAAGACTAGCGCGTTTCAAGGTTGTAAGGTCTGGTAGACTACTGAGATTTGTGCGTAGTAAATAAATCTTTCGTGTATGCTTTTTTTCATGAGACACGACAAAAATATATCATATTAAACTTAATCTCTTCACACAATTTTTATATTGTCACATATATTATTAATACTAAGTAAATTATGGATGATTAAAACAATATTGACTTATTTTTTATTTAATATTTGTTGTTGAACTATTGCCAAGTGGATTGATATGTGCTTTTGATTCTTTTTATAATTATCTTTACCATTTCCATTTAGAAGTTACTGTAAATCAGTGTTTAAGATTTTTTTAAAGGAATCACCACAACTTATACTAAAAAAGAATTTAGATTCTAGACAACTTTCCATAAAAGCTTTTGCTTAATAAAGAAGATTAAAAACTATATGTAAAGTTATGCATAGATACATTATAAATAAGTATAAAATTGCTATCTAAATTGTTGCACATTTATTGTCTGCACTTCTTAGATGCAATTCTTAAATGACCACTTACAAAAACGTTCTGCGTTGAACCACTTGCTGTTTATCATAGTCAATAATTGAAGCAACCTTGTATGAATTATTTCCGCATTCGCCTCTTCTTATAAAAGCAAACAACAACAAAAAAAAATACTACAAATTCATGTACAATACCAAAATTCAACTTATAAATATAAATTTGGATTTTTTTAAGAACAGTTTTCAAAGACGACTCCAACAAAATGATTATAGACATTCAAGTTTTTGATTACGGCAGTGATACAAGAATAGCCATTGACGTAACGCACTTGCACTTGCTGTGATGTCATCTTCTCCAAGTGATAAAATCTGTTGAAACACAGTTTAGTAGTCGCAAGGAAATATATCTTAGTTGCAAGTGTGTTTACTTTACATTATTTCAAATATGATTATATAACATCTGGTTTAAAGGACAAACACACCATTAAACCAAAAGTTAAAAGACGCTTTAAGCTAAAGCAAAATATGAATTAATTATATTTTTAATTTTACGCGATCAAACACAAAATGCAATAAATAATTTTAATTATTTGCGATTAGCATATTTATTGACTTTATAAGTTAATTTACTTTTTTTTAATGATTTAATAAAAAAAATATATGTCTATAATAAAACAGTGCGTTTTATCGTCTGTTATGTAATTGCTTTGTTTTCTCTAAACATTTTGAAAATACGTATTTTTATTATATATAATTCAAGCAATAATTTTTTTTTTTGATTTGACGTTTGTTTTTGTTATTCCAATTTGTAACGTGTTATTTTTGCAGCAATTAGCGGCATTTTAAAGTGTCCTGATGACTAATTTGATGACTAATCAAAAGACTGCATAGGGTTCAAATTGTTAATATCGTTGAACATTTCCTGTTATGTTCAATGTATTTGTTGTTTTGGGAGTATACATTTTTTTAGGCAATAGTTAATTACAGCCTTGAATGTAAATAATTTTTAAATACTTACAATAAATTATTCCTATGAAATATGATATCTACGTTCAAGTGAAATATATTGGTTATTAAGACAATATAGTTTACTTGAACGTAAATATCAGCAAGTTCAATAATAATAATTTATAAAAATAATATAAAGTAAAATGTTAGTAAAAGAATAATTAATTTAATGGAGCTATGATTCATTCTAATTTTGATAAATATTTTTTAAATTTAAAGCAAAAGCTTAGGCAATAGAAGCTTATTTTTATTAATTTTTTTAACAGGCAATGGTTACTAGTATCCTTGTATGTAAATATTTTTAAATAGTAGTAGCATTTCCTAAGAAATGTAATATCTACGTTCACATCAAGTTTGTTGGCTTTAAAATGCAAGTGTTTTAGGAATAGATTGTACTTTTCAATATAATTGATTTTTTGTTATTGTAGGTAGACGTGTAATTAATAGTTTCTGCAATTTAATACAAGACAAGAGGTTTTCGCATGGAGGACATGCGAGTTGTCAACAAGCGTGTCGTGTTGCATGAAAAAAAATCATGGACATTAACTAGTTGATAAATGAATAATCCGAGTTAGTGGCGGTATTGTAGGAGAGCGCGTGTAAGTTCCTTACGATAGAATAAAATAGATTGTATATTTGTGAGCATTATACATAAGTAGACAAGTGATGTAGGTGGCCAGTCCAATTACATAATTGATGCATACATACATTCATCGGATCAGCGCAAATTCAGCCTTTCCGTTCCTCCCAATTACGGTCGTCGGTACGACGATTCGTACTCCTGCTATATACCTTCTTGCATACCAAACTCGCAACGTAATTAATTAAACTGAAAAATGAGAAACAAGTTGAAATTTTAGTTGGATAATCCAATGAAAACCATTATATCTTTGAGACCGTTTCATAAATTGGCTCCACTACCACCGCCGTCGCTACTGCATTAGTATTGTTGTGAATGGGATTAGTGTTGGAAGTGTGTTATCAGCCCGTGAAATTAATCTTAATTCCTGAAGCCGCGCGTTCTTTCCCATCCCGTCCACACGCTCAACTCGCCTCAATTCAGTTTGATTTACTTTTTCGCGCACGACTTAAGTTGTTGTCCTTACGGAGTTTTATTGAAATGTTTGGTCGATATCCTGGCGCGATTCTCTTAGTGTTCTCACTGCTCACGGTGAGAGCCTACTTTTACGAAGATGACGAAAAGCAGCAGCCCAGCTACCTCACGGCGGCCGTCGGCGATTTCACCATCATGAACTGCGATCTGGACTTCCCTCAGACCATCCCCATACCGTACATACTCAACTGGAACAGAGAGGTACAGTATCCATCAATGAATCGTTGCCCATCTAAACCCATGCACGGACAATTCAGGGCAAAACTGTGTTCTCTTGGAACAACGGAAGATTAACAGCAACAGATCCGTACGTCGGAAGAATTCATTTGCTGGAAGAGCAACATGCCATTAGATACGGAGGAGCATCCATAAATTTAACATCAATTCGGGAATCAGATGCTGGATGGTTCGAGTGTAAAGTGATCTTCCCAAATCGAACGCCCAATTCCCGCAACAATGGGACCTGGTTCTACCTTACAGTTAATGGTATAAATATCAACGAAGAACGTATTTCAATAGTAGCTAAATTAAATTTATTTGAGGAGGTAACTTGTTGGCCGTGCCACCAATCAACCAAACCACGATGGAACATGAGGAAGCACACTTTTCGTGTGTCACAAAGGACAAAGACACAATTGTTACTTGGTACAAAGATGGGATTCCTCTAAACGAATTACCGGATATCTTACAGAGATCATGGATTTCTTCCGAAGGTTCTTTAACAATTCGACCTGCCGCAATGGGCGATCTGGGCGAGTACGAATGCGAAGCAGTAACACCGGACGGCGAAAAGCAATCTGCGAAAGCCTATCTCAACGTACAATGTAAGTATTAACGATAGCAAAAATATTATTAACATTCTAAATATTTCAATCGATCAGACAAAGCAAAAGTCATCTACGCTCCTCGGGAAATACATTTGCCTTACGGAAGATCGGCAATACTCGATTGCCATTTTCGCGCTAATCCACCGCTAACAAATTTGCGCTGGGAAAAAGACGGTTTTCTTTTCGATCCTTACAACGTTCAAGGGGTTTTCTACCGACGAAATGGAAGCTTGTATTTTAGCAAAGTGGATGAATCGCACACCGGACATTACAGTTGCACTCCTTACAACGATTTGGGCACGGAAGGACCGTCGCCTTCGATTCACGTGATAGTCCAAAGACCTCCAGTTTTCGTGGTCACCCCTAATCCACTGTATTTAAGAAAGTTAGGCGAGACCTTGGAAATGCCCTGCGACGCTAGAGATGGCGAAAACGAACATAAACCCATAATTGTTTGGTACAAAGTAACTTCCAAACAATCTTAATAATCTTAGTGTTTTCCTTTTACAATGTTTTTTTTTAGAAGGACGGTTCCTCTTTGCCAGTAGGAAGATATTCAATCAGAGACGGTAATTTAACAATAATAAATATTCAGGAGGACGATCGTGGGATGTATCAATGTTCAGCTACAAACGAAGCGGCTACGATTAGCACGGAAACTCAGTTGATCGTCGAAAATGTTCCACCAAGAGCTCCATACAATTTAACAGCGGATTCGTCATTAACTAGTGTTCACTTGAAATGGGAAGCGGGTCGGAAAGTCCCCAACATCGAGTACAACATTTGGTACAGACCGGTCGAAACACCTGAATGGAAAACCATAAAAGTTTCTGGTAAAAAAGCACTGGAAACGACAATTTCCAACTTAAATTCAGGTAAATTAGACAGATTTACGTTAATTTTAATTGTATAAAAAACAATATATATGTCTTTGAAGGAAGGGAATACGAATTTATGGTATTAAGCAAGGACCAACACGGGGATGGATTATTCAGTAAAACTATACGCGTTTGGACTAAAGGATACAACGCTGAATATTCTTCTGCGGGATCAACTAATCCTCATTCTATTGGTAGTCCGAAAGATGTTCAAGTTAAGAGTACCGCGGATGGCTTTCTGGTTGTTTGGAATCCTCCAGAATACGGTTTGGAAGAGCTTAGGGTTTACGTTGTTAGATGGTACGAAGGTCCACGGCAATATCTCTGCGGTACAGCTGAAACTAAGAACACCTCGTATCTCGGTATGATTAAAATAAATGTTAATGAAAAAAACTTCATTTCAATGAATAATTATATTTCAGTGTCTGATTTGGAAGAAGGAAACGACTATCATTTCGAAGTTTTGGCTATGGCATTCGATGAATATCAAGCGGCGAGCGACAAGTTCGCAATTACCGTGCCATCATATTCTCGCATCAAGGCGATTTCCATTGGTTTGCTCGTGGTATGCTTGGTTGTAGCAGCTCTCGGAGTTGCCGCTTTCTACTTGAAGAAAACATATTGGAATAAGTTATCTAGCAGCGATTCCAAAAACTAATTTGACTGAAAGAACAAACTTGGATTATATTGTCTACATTATTATATTTTACTGTATAGTCTATGTTCCGTTTATTTTTTATGTGTTATGAAATGACAAAGAAATATAAATAAATTAATAAATATTTTACAAAATCCTAGTGGCTCAAGTGCTGACTTTGTATATTATTATTGAGGACGTTTTAAGTTCAAAAGTTAAGTGAATGAATCAGGAATTAAATGAGATGCATTCAAGAAATCATATTCATTCATTTAGATCCATAAGCAGCTACAATTAATATAATTAACAGAAATAACTAGAATTTTACAGTAATTCAACATTAAATTTGTTATTTGTTTTTTTTTATAAAATTGGAGATAGATGACTGCAAAAATATAAATAATTTATAGTAACTAAAGCAAATAAACAATACTGGAAGATAATGAACACGGATATTCATTTAATTTACAAAGCTCTTATATCCATTTTTGCAACAAGAGCCATATCCATATTTGCAACTTTTTGATATAATAATTTTTAAAAATTCTCAATCATAATATAAAATATATATAATATTTGTGTTTTGTTGCGGCTATATATTATCATGTAGTTCAAAGAAATAATAAATATAAACTTGATATCATTAAAAAATATACAAAAAATGTCCACATAGTACTTTTTTATGCAAGTACACTTGTAATAATCTTCATAAAACAAAAAAAAAAGGTTTCTTACGATAATAAATATTGAAATTGCTGAGAATTATTTACTGTTTAAAAATAATTGCGATTATTAAAATATTATTTATATAGCAACTGATAATAATTTATTTTATGCTAATATCACATAATTATACACAATTACTTTAATAACAACAAATTGCCAGATAAAAATATCAATTTATGTAAACTAAATTAACTTGACAATTATTAAGAAATTTTATTCGATAAATCAACTTATCCCTCATTAAAATACATATTACATATTTATTTTTAGTATTTTGATCTCATTAAAAAAAACATGGGAATATTTATTTTAATGCAAATTACGTCAATATTTTGAACGCTTCGTGTATTATAACAACTGCAAATGTTGTTTAGGAAATTGGATAAGAGATATCAAACGCACGCGATGCTGATTTTTATTGAAATATGATTATTTTTATTTACAGATAAAAAAACGTTTAAATGCATCATTGAAACATATCAACTGAAAATGAATGAAATTATAAATAGAGTCGAAAAACAAATCCAGTTGAAAATTTCAACAGCTTCTTTAACAGTGAAAATTGAAAAAAAAACAAAGATATTTTTATTGGAATTTGAATATTTTCATATGAAAAGAGAAAACCGCATTGAAATACTGCAGTAAAATATATTTTGTGGTCAACAGCCCTTTGAATTTTCAATTTGTAATTTCTTGATGCAATAAAAATTATTATTTACTTATTTAAATATATTTAAAAAATTGTAGAACCTAACATATTTGTTTGTATTTGTACTGCAACTCAATTGCTAAGTGTATTTCATCAGTTCCTCGCTTTGACATAAGGTGACAGATGTCACGCGACCCATAAGTTGAGAAACACTGTTTTAGATAAATTATAAAAAAATCCAGTTGAAAGTTTTGGTAATGATTTTCAAGATACATTTTCAAATAAAAATAGACAATTGTATATGTTGAAGATGATCAATGTAGAGTTTCCCAAACTTTTCCTGTAACGAAACACTTTGTATATCCTGAAATTTTCGCGGAACACCTTGTTTATCCAAAGTTGAACAAAAGAAAAATTAACGCACGATAAAGAAGTATTGTCACATTTCATTGATTTTTTCGAAAACTATAGTTGATACAAGATGGATATGGAAGCTGAATCGTGTCTAAAGTTGCAAAAATAAAAATTAACGCTTGAAAAAAGTATTTTCATATTTCATTGATTTTCTCAAAAACTGTAATAGATAAAATGAATCCAGAAGATGCGTATGAAACCTGATGAAACCTTTCTTTGGGAAATGTAACGAGTATTCATACATTGCTTATTTTGTGGGGTAAGTAATAACACATAATCTATAAAAAAAAATAAACATGTTTAAATCAGTCCAGTTTTTCACGAAACACCTATTAACTTGTGATACATAGTTTGGGAAACACTGAATTAATGTATGTATTAAAAACAGAAATATAAAACTATAATAAATAAAGAAGAAAAACAAATTTTGTATCAGTTTTAACTTTGAAAATTTTGAGAATGTATGCAACATTTTTCATGTAGATATGAGAAATGTAAATATTTGTTCATTAGTATGTACGTATTCGAGGTTGGTGGACCTCCAGTAGCATTTTTTAAATTATCCATTGTTTTGTTATTTAAATTACACGTTATTAATGCAAGTACCAACTTTCTACCTATAGCAGTTGGTAAACTTCCGGATATATATATATTAAATGCATGGTTTCCGTTCGCAATGCAACATGAACGTAACTACTGAAATACATTGTATTTATTGCCAAGAAATTATATTTTTTTTTTCTTCATAATCAAAATGCAATTATTTCATGTAATTACGAGTTTAATGATTGGAAAATTAATTTAAGAAACACGATCGTTTAATTTTTTGCACCTTTGAGCGATTTTTTATATATGATGTAATGTTAGGAAAACTGTGAGGAAATTAAGTTCATGTTATTGCAAATTTATGGAAAGATAAATTAATGAAATTAATGAAAAGTTGTCGTTAATGATCGTTTATTGTTTTGCATATTCGCGCGATTTTTTTCATAAATGTAATGTTGGGAAAACTGCTGTGGAAAATGATAGGGGCGCGTGTGGAAAGCCGAAGTGAAGTTGCAGACTTTGGACCGTGGAAAATCAATTGGTTTGCACCGAGATCACATAAAGGCTAGAATCGTGTAACAATAGCCTAACGAATCTCGCCTTTACAGCACATGCAACGAGTCCGGTACACATGTACTACCAAAAAGCGATAAGTACTCGATTCGCATGACGCAGTCAGGCGATTTTGGCTCGTAGAGCGCTACGCAGTTAGACTTATTCAACAGCTGATCACGATGAAAGTATAGGTTGTGATACGATGGTGGTGGTGTTTTAGTTCTGCTCTATTCGTTCGCATCCGTCATAATCTTTGTGGCTAAAACTATGACTAAGCGATGGCAATACCGGCTGCATGAATACGGACGGAATCAGTGAATGCGAGCTCCTCCCGACGACGTACAACAATGTGCCGTTCTTGGATCTGTCCGCTCTTTGTGTTACCCATTCAAGCAACTAACAAATAAATGGAATATTAAATTCGTCTTATTACAGTAAGTAATGATGCACTTCAATTGATCATTATCATTAAAAATCATCAACTACATCATTTAACTATTAAATCGAAAACACAGATTTGCCTAAACAATTAATAATTAACACTCACTTTAATGGATAGATTGACAGTGCGCACATTCTTCAAACTAAAGTAAACTAGGAAGAAATCGAGTAAATTTATCAATTTACTTTGTAGCCAATATATATTGTAGACCATGGCAAAGGATCCCACATGGATTTATTTTTAGATTGGTAAATTACCGTACATTGAACACGACGAAATGGGATGGGATAGCAAATGCAGCAAAAGGAAAAAAAACATCTGCTCATAATTATATATTTTCACACGACAAACGAACGAAATGAAAAAATATTAGTAGCAATTAAAGACACACATTCCGTGTTTCTATATATATTTTTTTTAACCATTTGTTAAAATCGCGCCAAATTACTAACATTAAAAATATAATGGCAATATAGCAGTTAACAACTCTAAGGTCAAATCACAATGAGAGCCTTGTACATGAAACTGAAGCAAACAATGATAAAGGATTTTAATTAAATGCCACACATTTATTTTCATTCGATAATTTATTATTAATCAATAATAACAAAGCTATTTTATTTTTAAAAATAATAATCTTTATAGACAACAGTCAAAACAAAATTAAACATTTTCATACATAAAAATAATAATAAACTGCTACAAATTGTTATTAATTCAGTACATTTAATAATATATATCTATACACGTTGAGTAACTGAAAAAAACTTAAAATAAAAGAAATGGGGCCCCCTTTTTCCAGTATCCTGGACTGTTTGAAACCGGACTAATCGAGGACTTTAAAACTGCACAAAAAGACACATCATTGTATATAGGGAAAAAAAGACCGGATAATCGACGTTTTACTGTACTTCAAATAATTTCTTGTTGAAGATTAAAAATTGTTTGTGCAAGATTCCAATTTTATCGAACAAATAAATTCAATTTGCGCACGAAAACATATCTACTCTAACATCATGAATGGCCTCCCATTCATTGAAAGACGGATTCTTATTTGTAAACATATTTTCCACGCATTTAATACTTTTGTTATTTAATAATCGAATATATCTCTTATCGCTAGAAAAATAATATGACAATACAACATATTCTAGTTTCCCGTGGTTTTAACGATTCACTCTACCTGATATTTACAAGTATCCAATTGGAAACCATGTTTTACAAACAGCTCTTATTTGTAAACTTATTCACACGGAATACTTTGATATAACAACAATCGGTTAACATTAGATTTGCTGAATTCAAATAAATTTTGTCAAAGTCAATTTAACTATTAATTATTTAATATTAAAAGTAAACCACATGATCCCGTCTATTAATAACCTCTATGATATGATCAAATATTTATATTCTGATATAAAAATAGTTGATGTGATTTAAAATTAGATTTTTATTTAGTTTATAGATGAGAACATTTATTTATACATTACTATTAAAATATAGTAGTAGTATATATTCATATCTTCTTGAATTATCCTTCATTCATTAGTAAATTTAACATGAAATGAGTGAATATTAATCGTAGGAAGAAAGATTAAATTTGTTGACTGATGTTTTGGATACGTTGTTCAAATTTCCGGAAACAAATGCTCATTAGTTCTCATGATAACTATCATTTAAACGCAATTATATTCAGATCACCGTCTATACTTGATTATGTTACATTCAGCATATTTTTCACATAATAATGTAAATTGAGAATAATATTTATTTTACTGTTTGTAAAACACAAGATAGCTTTCTTTATGTTTACCCATTGTTCAGATTCCATTAAAGTCAAGTGATAATAATTCTGACGAAAAACCGCCTCAGACATTCTGCTCAAAACATAATTCAGTAAACTTGCTACTACAAAACTAGATGAACGTATTTTATATATTAATATAGCTGAAACCATGTAAGTAAATAAAAATATAAACGAGTATAATTAAGCATCTTTCAATAGAACATTGTAATGAAAACAACTTTATTTTCGATCTATTGTATTGAAAGTATACTTCCTATTATTATCTATCTCGAATAGTAGAAAATTATTTAATACATTTATTTATCAATAAAGTGTATAATGACGTATAATGATTGAAAACCTTGTCTAGAGACAGATAGCAAAATCGTTTGAACGTGTGTTGTTTGTTTTTCAATGGAACATGTGAACTTTCTAGCGACATTTCAAATCTTTTTCTGCAACAAATTTCTCTTGTTGCAGCGAATCCTTTCACCTCGCGGCGAATAAAATCATCGAAGCAAGGATATTTATTGTGCTTAGGCCATTTAAAATTAAAATGCAATTCTCATGCAGCAATCGTGCGCGTTTTATCCTTGACTTATAGTTATCAAACCTACGAGTTCTTTCACTCCAACAACAAAGACTATGAAGCATTTCCATCGATTATATTTTTAAAGAAATTGCTAAACAAAGATTGCATCTCGTTGCAGCAGCAATTGTTAATGCAAATGCTTGGTGACATCAAGTCACATGTGTCACAAATTAAACGCGATTCACTGATAGATCTAACGTTACCGGAAATCGAGTGCAAGATATCCAGAAATACCAAAAAAAAAACAGCGCATAAAAACATAATATTTCACTTCGTGCCTGTAATGAAGCGAACTAAAATTATCGTTTTTTTTAGCGCTCGTCCTTGGATGGAGGTTATTTTTAATTTGAAATCGTGTACATTTTCACCGAAATTATTTCGTCATCGCCTTTACATTGTTTCCTCCCAAATCATCTGCACAATTATATACTACTCATAATCTAATCATGTCTTATCGATAAAAACAATTTTGTATTTAAATTAATTTTCAATTGTTCCTCTAGTTGTGTTCATACTTGTGATGCTGTGAGAGTTTTCCTGTTTCAAACGAGATGGCCGATGTGAAAATACAGTTGGAGCAATATAGTGCGACCGTTGCCCTCAACAGCGACGAGACAGTCTCGTTTCAATCCAAAAAAGATGCAGAATCTCTTAATAACGCTTTAGTCAGGTAATCAAATAGATTCATCTGAAAATTCTTCGTTATATACAAATGCAAACAATGCAATGCAAACAGGTTTTTCGGACTATAAAACTTCACGCCAAATTTATGAGACTATTTTTGGAAACAACCAAAAAATATATATATAACAATATATTTATAATCCGAAAAACATGGTAATATATTAGAAAATAGTTTCGTTCAATTAACGATAAATTATTATTTTGAACACCTGCTATTGATATAAAATTAATTGATAAGGAGCTAATAAAGCTGTTCTTTTATTTGCAGTGGATCAAGCGGTAATCTGTGCAATGGATCAACGAAGATTAAAATCCAAACACCGCTTAAAAAGATTCCGAACGGAAGTCCGACAGGACATCGAAAACCGATGATATCATTAACTCATCTGCCAAAACGGCCCCCGGTGGATATTGAGTTTAATCAACTGTCGTATTCGGTGTCGGAAGGACGCAAACGGGGATACAAAACTATTCTAAAAGGAGTGAACGGAAAATTTAAATCCGGCGAATTAACGGCGATTATGGGACCTTCGGGCGCAGGCAAATCCACCCTCATGAATATCTTGGCCGGTTATAGGTAAATTATTAATAAATGCATGCAGTGAGGGCTTTGCGATAACTTTTTATTGTTTTGTTATTCTCTTCTTCGGCGGTGTTAAGAACTAAGAACTTGACAGGAAACGTTCAGATAAATGGTCGTGAGCGTAGCTTGAGGCGTTTCCGCAAAATGTCTTGTTACATTATGCAGGATGACTGCCTATCGCCGCATCTAACTGTGAAGGAGGCCATGTCGGTGTCCGCGAATCTGAAGCTTGGAAAGAACGTCACCAAAGCGGAGAAGAAGGTTGTCGTAGATGAGATCATAGATACTTTAGGATTGATCGATTGTAAAGATACGCCGACGATGTGCTTGTCCGGTGGGCAGAGGAAGAGGTTGTCCATCGCTTTGGAGCTGGTCAATAATCCACCTGTGATGTTCTTCGATGAGCCGACAAGCGGATTGGACAGCAGCTCGTGTTTTCAGTGTATAAGTTTGCTGAAGAGCTTGGCTAGAGGTGGCAGGACAGTTATTTGCACTATACATCAACCGTCCGCCAGGATCTTTGAGATGTTTGATAACCTCTACATGCTCGGTGAAGGGCAGTGCCTTTACCGTGGAATAGTTACGGGATTGGTTCCTTTCCTCTCCGACATGGGTCTAAGCTGTCCCAGTTACCACAACCCTGCGGATTATGGTAATATCTATATATCTTATTTAATCCAATAATGATCTTAATATCATGTTTATTGAGCAGTAATGGAAGTAGCATGCGGCGAGCATGGAGATTATGTACAGAAATTGGTGATAGCCGTGAACGCGGGCAGCTGTAATGGCTACATGGAAAAATCGAAAAGTCCAGATACAGGAACTAGCATAACGAACGACATAGCGAAGCAATCGACGCCCCTCAAAACACCGGCCATTTCTCCAGCAAGTACTTCGAATACACCTAATGGCGTCAACGAGAAGAGTTCTAGCACAACAAACACCAGTGCTACTTGCACGACATCTCTCTTAGGTGGGTATCAACGCCCCATGCAAATTCAGCTTTAAGAATTGCTTCAATTGCAGATAATTCATCAGAGAGTTTACCGTTGGCTGACAAAGCGACTTTTCCCACTAGCGGATGGCAACAGTTCTGGATTTTGCTCAAACGCACCGTTTTTACAATATTAAGAGACAAAACTCTAACAAGAATGAGGTTAATTGCCCATTTTATAATTGGCATTTTATTGGGTTTAATTTATTACGACATCGGCAACGACGCCGGAAAAGTGATGAGCAACGCAGGTTGCATCTTCTTTACCGTGATGTTCATCATGTTCAGTGCTATGATGCCGACAATCTTAACATGTAAGATAGATGAATGATGATCATTTCATTCAACTATAATTGTTATATGATTATGTTCCAGTTCCTCTAGAAATGTCGGTTTTCGTGCGAGAGCATTTGAATTATTGGTACTCCTTGAAGGCGTTCTACTTTGCGAAGACATTGGCGGATATTCCATTTCAAATATTGCTGACTGCGAGCTTTATGATGGGAGTCTACTATTTAACATCGCAGCCGATGGATTGGATCAGATTCAGCATGATGTTGCTCATAACCGTCTTAACTGCTTTGACCTCTCAGAGCGTGGGTTTATTAGTGGGAGCCGCATTCAATTTAGAAGTAATTTAATAACGTTTGATTTCTACGATTATTATTTCTCACGTATTGTAGGGAGGCGTGTTCCTGGGTCCAATATCTATAATACCGATGGTCCTGTTTTCTGGATTCTTCGCAAATCTCAACGACTTACCAAAATACCTGAATTGGCTATCGTACGTGAGCTACGTCCGTTACGGCTTCGAAGGCAGCATGATTGCCATATACGGTATGGATAGGGAGAAGTTAACATGTAGTGATATTTACTGCCATTACAAGTACCCCAAAACCTTCTTATCGCAAATGTCAATGACTGGGGATTTGTATACATACATGATCGACGTTCTCGCGTTATTCGCATACTTCGTCGTTGTGCGGACTTTCTCCTACTTTGTGCTGCGCATCAAGCTGATGGCCAATCGCTAAACATTGTGATATAATATATAAACAAAAATAATTCCAAACCAAAAAAAAATAAGTGGAGGACATTCATATTTTTAATCACTTGTGATTTAATTTAATACGGTTTATTTTAATACCTATTCTAAGCATTGTTACCGTGGCCTTTTTAAATACACCAAAAATCACCAAACAAAAAAATACGTGTACGAACTTTGCGCCAAAGATTTTTTAATGATATTACCGTTTTCAATTATACACACATACATTTGAAAATTCAAGCAATATTAGTTTTGTAATATGTAAACGAAAAGGAAAAACACCATCGTTTTGTTTCCGTTTCTTTTAAGTGATTTTCATTTCATGAGCATATTCTTTCTCATATTAATACTCATATTTACAAAATGTATGTAATCAAAACGCATATATATATACAAAAGAAACCAATCACTCAATAATCATTAAAATTTTATCTAATATTAGTATATATTTCATAGATAAGAAGATTTTGTATTTAATATATTATTGAAAAAAAAAATTGAGAAACTTAAATAAAAGAAAATAAGAAAGGAAAGAAATACAGTTTTCGTACGAAATAATATTTAATTGGGGATAACAGTATTAAATATATTGTTTGTATATTAACATTTTCTATTTATCTACATTACTCGCTGATAAATAAATATTTTAAAAAAATATGTAACATGCATAAATTCAATTCCACAACAAGCTGACAATAAACTGAACCAATGTCTAGTTACAGACCAACATAATAGTACATTAATATTCACGCATTATATAGATACAACATTTGTATAATTTTGAATATATACCTTTTATATGTATAGTAATTTTTCAGCAACAATTACTTAACTTTGTACATTCTTGAAGCAATGATAGCTATATTTGTTTTGATGCTGTCCTTATACAACGTCGATTATTGAGAAAACTTACTTTGTTCTATTACTAGTAACCATTTTGTAGTGAAATAATGGCTGTTTTGGTAGTCAAAATCATAGATGCAATGATAAAACCTATAGAAGTAGCTAATCTTTGTCTTAACTCAAACAATTACTTAAGTGAAAAATTTACTTTTTAATTATTGCAATTCATAAAATATAGGGAACAAAATTTATAGTCCATCAATTCAATTTCAAAATTCTTTATTCAGTGTAGATGCATATACAATGGTGTTATTATTATTAAGGGGTGGCGTACATGTGAGCTTGTGCTCATTTAGCCAGAAACATGATGGGTTGTTTAATGGCACAAAAAAAAAAGAAAAAGTTTTACAGTAAGGGTTTTTCAATAATTTAACCATGGTTTTTAGCAATAACAATGACGAGATGCGAAGACATTAATTGATTTGGTTTTATAGTCCATTTAATTTCTGTAACATTAATAATTATAAAATAGACTCCTAATAAAGAATTATAAATATTGACGCCATCTAGCGTCGAAATTGAAGACTGATATTCTAGTTTCCTACACTGTCATGAGGAATATGTCACTTAGTTTTATCATTAATTTAGAAATGTTTTGTTTTATAATGCATATTTTATAAGTTTCGAATAGTATAGTTTACATGTCGCAAAGTGCAAACATACCCTTATTCAGGTAATATATTTCATGTAGTTAGTGGTATATTTAAAGTGATCATAATATGTTTATTTATAGAGGGTGATGACAACTGTAGGTAACATAGGAATAGGATTGTTAATTCTTATCATTGTTTGGATCATAGCTCTAATATTTTTTGTGATATCAGTGCATCAACAAAGCAACTTAGGGTGGATAGGATTAGGTGCTGCGACTGTGCTTACATTAATTTTAACCTTGATCCCCATTGAGGACAAATCAAATAATCTTAATGATCTTGTACCAGAGGTAAATAGAGTTTTGTTTATAGATTTATTAACTAAGTATTGCTATAATTTTTTTTTAGGAGAAAGATTATAGTCAAATCTACAAATATCTCTTGTTGGGGATTCTAACAACTTGTGCCATCCTCTCATTTTTAGTATTTTTCTTGGGCTTCTGCATACAGCTGAGAAGGCCCAAAGCACATTACAATGTCCATTTTTAGAGTATGCAAGCAAGTATCAAGACTGTTTTCAACAACTGCGCATTTGAGGAGGCTGATCACCATCAAAGATGATGATGAATTTATAGCTAAAGTTATGAACTCTGATAATCCTGTTATAGTTAATTTTCATGCAGAATGGTGCGAACCTTGCCACATTCTCACGCCGAAAATGAAAGAACTGATTGAGCCAAAGGATAATATAGATTTAGTTATTGTAGATGTAGAGAACCATGCTGAGTTGGTCCACACGTTTGAAGTCAAAGCAGTGCCTGCGGTTATTGCCGTTCGCAATGGGCTTGTTGTAGACAAGTTCATAGGTTTAGTTGATGCCAACATGATTGAATCTCTCATTAACAAGCTCGATTTTAAGAAATGAACAATGTTTGTTTTCTCGCTAATAAAATAATTTGTATTATGTTTTTCAATTAAAATTTTAATGTAAAATTTGACCTATATTTTTTTTATCTATTGACATTTTTTGTTGCTAGGGTCAACTACAGGTCAACATATTAGGATAGCATTTTTAAAGAATTTAATATACAATTGTTATTGCCTTTTAAAATTTTAATTGTGATAATAAATATATAAATTTTGTCTAGTTTTATACAAATCGTTTCTGAAGTTAGTTGCATAAATATTAAACGCTTTACCGAATTATCAAGAAAATCTGCATGTCGATCAATTGAAATTTCTGAAAACTGTTTACATCCCACTCCTACACCATTACGGCCAATAATCACTCTCATATTTGTATCATTATGATTAGCAATACTCGTAGTCAGGATGCATATTCTTATATAAATTGCGTATGCCATAAACTGTTGCGGCGGTGAATTTACATTTAGTATGAAGGCTCCTTCTCTCTGAGGAGGTGAATATTTTGAATAACAAAAATACATCTGATTATATAATTAGTTTTAAGCAGACGACATTTTATATTCTTATTGAAGAAAAACTACAAATATTTGATATTCAAATTTAGATATTTGAATGAATTTTCGAATATATGAAAATTCATTCAAATATTTAGATTTGAATAAGTAGATCAAAATAATTTAATAACACAATGTAAGGCGGTTCTGGTAAATAAACGTTTTATTTCTATTATTAGCATATTAATTAACAATTCAAATAAAATATATATGTATATAATATACAAAAATTATAAACTACAAAAATAACAATTATTGCGCAATGTATCTATTATAATAAACTTCAATTGTGCCATTCATATCCTGCTTAATTATGTCAAGCATTTTATTAATACGATTCAAATCGGTGACATCTTTACGTTCAGGTTTTGGCATTAGGTAGAGCACCAAAATCTTCGTTCCGGAACTTTTATCCAATGACAATATGGATTCAAGCAACTCCATATGAATGTCCCACTGATCTCTTTGCCAATCGTAGTAATATCGAACATTGTCGAAAACATCCTTGACGCATTCCCAATATATTTCCAGCATTTCCGAACCCAGGTAATCCCTCTGTTTGGTAATCAAATAGCGTTCGAACGGTTGCAAACCGAACTGAACGTAATGATTGGTTAGATCTAGTTTCAGTTGTAAATATGCCAAACTGTTGGATAAATATAAGTTATTGAATCCATTAAACATGTTAGAACATAGCGTTTTATTTGATGATTCTTTTGCGTTGCTAATGAATGTCGATATGAGTGTGTTGAACAGTTGGTTCAGTTTGTTCAATTTCGTACCGAATCCCAAATTGTTCCTATACGGTGCACTGATGTAGTCGTGAATGGCTTTCCAAAAAGTATCGAGAGTTTGAGATATTTTCAAGTACTTGTAAATAAAGTTCTGACCCTCATCTTGATGTTCGAATATTACCAACCTCAATATTTCATCACCCAAATATATAGGTAGAGTTTTGATAATTTCCTCATCCATATGGCGTATAAGTTGTAATTCGAAACCCTTATTTTTTTCTTTTAAGTATTCCCATAGAATTTGTATATATTTCGATTTAAATATTGTTGAAATATCGTAGATGTTTAAAATCATTGCCAAAGATTCCGAATCATTTTCATCCAAAAGTTTAAGATTTTCCACAAGCATATTATATATAGTGTCAGTTTGATTTGCGAGAAATAGCCCGAAAATACTACTGAATATATACTTTTTAATGGATACGTTCTTTTCTGTCTTCGATAGTGACGAAAGTAGCGACAGTTTAGTGCTTAATTTAGATAATTGTTTTGTTAGGAAAATTGCGTGTTTACGAACTGTTACCGATCTGTTCAACAACTGTACAATTTGCTTTTCAAACACAGACGATATACAGTGATAACTGGCAAAATATAAAGTTTCCAAAGCATTTTGAAGATAATCTTTAAAGCAGTATTTAAATATTGTTTCTAATGATTCGGACGGAATCGGGAATTTTTTTAAACTATCTAATATTTTTGTATTTAACTTAATATTCTCTGATGCATTAGTTTGGTAAACATTAACTTCTAACGGTGGATACATCTTGATTAAATCCAAATAATTCGATTGATAGCAAAGTATTTGTATAGCTTTTTCGACTTCTTTCAATTCGTTGCTGTTGAACATTGATATTGCTTTATACATGACAGATTGACGCAATGCCGTATAATGCATTTTATTTAATTCATAATAAAAGTTCGCATTTTTATAATTATGAATTACGTTATCCAAATGTAATAGCAGCAAGTCTGGTTTGAAATTTAGTGCCCAGAAGTAGATGGTGTCGTTATTGGAAAATTTGCTAATCGCGAAATATTTGTCTGCTATTTTCACTTTCTCATTGAAATCTGTTGTGCATTTAAAAATACTCTCTATGCATGAAGAAGCCAAATGTCTGTGTCCCTCTGCCAAGTGTTCAAATACAAGGTCTATTAATTCCGGATAATCGTGTGGATTAATAAACATACTCTTGTTCCTTCTATTAAAATCAAAGATTTTTTGTAGAAATTGTAATTTTTGTTCATGTAAAACATTTACATTTTCGGTGTCAAATATTTCTGGATATCTCAGAATCAGCAGCCTTTCATGTTCAGGGTAATCAGTGATTTTATTCCAAAAATGGCAAAATTTCACGATTTCCAAATATTCCTTGAACTCTTCCATATAATCCAGGTCGTTCTCAATATTCCTCAAAATTATAATTTCCAAATATTTGAATTTATTATTGTAGTATTCATTATTAACTTTGAAAACCAACAAGATTTCTTTCAAATAATGCCAATGTTCTTCACTTAAATTAGAAATTTTGAAATTGTGTAATATTTCATCCAATACACCTTGTCTTGATAAAATTGTGTCGTTTCGGTGTCGTTGGCAGAAATATTTTAAAACTTCCAATAACGCTTCATTACTCTCATTCAATTTACACGTCTTTATCATTTTTTCCAGCAGTTTCCTTCTTTCGAACAGATTTGAAGTCACATTAATTTTATTTTTAATTAATGGAATGGATATTTCTTTCGGATTATATTCAATATAATCATCATCCTTCTTAAAATCTTCATAATCCTTGATATCAATTATATCTAGAAAGTGTTTATCAACTGATTCTGCATAATTAGTCCCATATATCTCTTTATAAGTATCCAAAATTGCCGTGGCTCTCAAATGTTTTGGATACATATTTAGTACCGATGTGATTGTATAGTTTAAAGAGAAATCATCGCATTTCTTTGGAAAAACGTTCTTCAATATCACATCGAAAGAAAGTCCTCTCTTTTTCATTTCCTTGTTAATTATTTTTAGGTATTTGAGGTAATCTGATGGTTTCTCGATTACTTCTTTCTCCTTGACAGTGAAATATTTCAAAAAAATCTTTCTGCCACTACACGGTATTTTGTCTAATGCATCTGGATCATTGTATATCAAGTATGCACACAAAGCCTTGTATTCATCAATCGAATCATTGCTATTTTCAAAATAAAATTTGATAATGCCCGGGAATTTCTGATGCAGCTTAATCAAATGTTTTAGTTTAATACGACATTTCGTTTCCTTCAAGATCGTTTCAATCAGAGGTCTTGTACATGATGGTAGAATCAATATAGCCTCTCTCAAACCGTATTTTTCTCTAATTGAATTGAAATACAAATCAGCTGGCTCTTCAAAAGCCCAGGTCATATTTTGAATCAAATTTACGCGCGTGACATAAGATATATTAGGGCATATATCCTCCACAAAGTCATTGGCAGTTGTATTGTCCACAATATATTTGCAGAATTTGTGATCTCTGATTGTTAATTTATTTAATATTCTATTCCCATTCATGAGATTTTGCAATAATAAGTAGTGTTGCTCATATTTGCATAATAAATTAAGATGAAATAATTGTTCTTGAAGGTTCCTTGGTTTCAAATTTGTTATTATCTGTATTACTTCGGATGTATTCAGATTGTTCAAATTATTTACGTAATTGTTAAAATTACGTTTGTGTTCTCCAATTGTATTACCTCCGAGATTATAAAATGGTTCCTCATTCTGAAAGAAGATTTAGAATTAGGCAACGGTTATAAATGTAAATAAACAATTTAGGGTTGGGAATACTGTTGGGAATATGCATACCAACCTTAACACATATATAGCACGCTCTGCCGACTATATTACTTACTATCGGATATATATCAATACCAAGTCCTTATTAGTGTTGTTTCACTCGACACCCTGACCTTATTTCAAACAAATACAATAATATTTCTAAGAGAAGGGCCGTAGCCGTGTGGTTATAGTCTATATCACGAAAATCTGATAAGAAAAATTTGGTTCAAAATCAACAAAACATTGTGGTGGCCATTAAACGCCAAGAGAAGAATATCAATAATAATTTGTTAATTCGTGTCAAAATTCGATGTCATTATCAACCGAGCAATTATGAATTACTTGAAGATGCAATAATTTAACTTACATTGGTCATGATTCTAGAGTACTGCAGGCGAAGTGAGGCGAAGCACAGAACACTAGAATTATCGATGACTGTACAGTACAACCAATAGACTCCTACTCGTACATTTCTATTTTAAAACGTATACCCACTACAAATATTATTGATGTACGCATACCAATAATAAATATTACGTTTTTTTATCATATGATAAAAAAAAATATTTGATAAAAATAGCTATCAGTTTGAAACTTAATACACAAATTATGTTTTATGATCTCATTCTTAGTTTATAACAAATCCATTATATATTATTAAAATACATCATTATACTAGTAAATATGAACCAACTATATATTATATTTGTATCATGAGTAAAATTGCCACGTTCTTGATGTTTTGAAATTTGCCAACGATGGATAGAGCTCTGTATATACGTTAAGTTCAGCTTTGCATAAGGAACAGTTTTCGGGTAACTTTCCAGTTTCCTTAATATTAGCTTCTTTGCTGCAGATACTATAAGAAGCTGATCTGGGGCTAGGACGAATTGAACCATCTGTGTATAAGTGCAATTGCTCTGGAAACAAATAACTGGTTATAACCAGTCCTAATATCCGAACTAATTTCTTATTTTATTAGATCAGGAACGATAATGTTCCCGATTGCAAATTGTTGGGGATTGTGAAAAATGTTGCCTATAGTTGAAATGAATGCTCCTTTTAACCGGTATTTTGAGCGGGCTTGTTGGTTTTCCATGTTCTATGTCTTTGTTCTACGACCCTGCATCCAACACATCATTTTTATTTTGAACTTCTTTATGTCATTTTCTAATCTTATTTCTTCTGGAACCATGTTGTACTGTGCAACTCCCTGTACCAGCAGACTCCTGTTCATTATGTTAATTGTATTTTGTTCCATTCTTATATTTCTTCTAGCACTCGTATTATGATCGTGTGTGTCGCAGCCCAAAGACAGGCCTATCCGGGTCTTATTTTTTTTTTTACTATTTTGTGTATTAGTATGTTTGTCTGTGCCTCTATCAATCTCTCCACATCCAGTATCTGCGTGTCACGACTATTTGCAGACATATTTTTTTTAGCTTTGCTTCTTGTCTTGTTAATGCTTTTATGTTTTCTTTTGTTGTGTTTCCCCACACCGCCACACCGTAGCGCATCCTTGAGTTAAACATAATATGGTATACTGCCACCCTGTACCTATCCGGGTGAAATTTGTTTATTTTTCACACATCCAATTGTAGTAGCATTTTTTTTGTAAGTTTATGTGATCATCCCAACCCTGTTTGTTGCTTAGCAGTATTTCCAAGTGGTGTTTAATTGGATCTTTCTAACATTTTTTGTTGTAGGATAATGTATTGTGTTTTAGTCTCGTTGTTAATAGATTGTCATCGTACCATGTCTGTAATTTAATAATGTCGTTGTTGATGCTGTTCTGTTGACGCCGTTTCATCCCTGTGTCCGTACAGAATACATGTATCGTCCGCATACATGTATATGCTTCCCTCTAACTCAATGTCGTTTATGTCGTTTGTATAAATATTGTATAGCGTAGGAGCAAGGACTCTCCCCTGGGGGAACCCAAATTCGCAGCACATTTCAGAGCTCTCTGTACTAATCATATTTACTCGCTGAGCCCTACTTGTAAGGTAAGACTCAAACAGCGCTGCCTCCCGACCAACCACTCCCAAACTGCTCCCAAACTCCTCATTTTTTGGAGCAATCTCCCTCTGTGGACCGTGTCAAAAGCTTTTTTAGGTCTACAAACACCGCAACAGCACTCACATGGCTGTCCAGAATTCTTCTAATCTCCGTAGTCAAGTCCAGCAGCACCTCAACCGTACTCGACTTTTCCTGACTAGACGTTTCCTCCACCAATTTGTAGTTGAAAATACCCATATCACCAAATTGTTTTTATGTTATTTAAAAAAAAAAACCTCTAACAGAAACATGACCTAGACCACTGGATATGAAAATACCCATATAACAAAATTGTTTGTATATATTTTTAAACATAAAACCTTAGGGCAACTTCACCTAACCTAACATTTTCTCGGACCTACGGTACTAGAGTGGATAAGAAAATAAATACGTCTATAAATTATTGAAATGTATTTCTAAAATAAAACCAAAATACATGCAAAAGAAATGTAATTTAGTGTCTATTACATTGAGATATCGCGTTTCAAACCGGGATAACTGATAAATGATTTATCACATTGAGATATCGTTTTTCAAACTAGGATAATTGCAAAAATACAAAAATAAAACAGAGTACCACAGATCATATTTGCATTAGAATTTAACATAAAAGTATGTGTACATACACAAAATAATAATTACTTGATTTTTAATGAAAACGCTAAGAAGATAAGTCATATTAATTTTGAAAACGAACATTATCAACCTTTTATTGAATAATAATAAATATTTTTTTAAATCAATTGCTTTTTTTTATAGAAAACTGATATTAATTAATTTTCATGCCAAATGAACACATCTGCTACTTTTAGAACTTAAAGATTTCACAGTTTTATGTATTTTATTTTAATATTGTTTGTTTTATTGTTTTTATATTGTGTTAAAATGTGACGACGAATGTGATGTTTTGAAACATATTTAGATATTGTTATTGTGAATTTTAGCAGAAAAAACTACTATAATTATTCTTGATATTGTGCAACACTAATTGTTATTTTAAGTTTTTTTTTAGACGAGAAAAATGCTCATTCCTCGCAGTTTTCTCTACTTCAACGAGGGAGGTGTTGTGTTCAACCATTATTATTGTAATTGTTATTATTAGTATAGTGTATTAACGAACTATAGACATCCAAAGCGTCTCTTAGTCGCATTATTATATAAACATTAGCATAAAGGAATCTCTATCGTGATTCCAGTTCGATAAACTTTAATATAAACAAAGGGGACCAAGCGTAAACATTCCCATCGATACTCCTATACCTTTATACCGAATTCAAGTCCTTATTATAAACACATAAAGATCGTTACATGTACAATCGTAATCGATCATCTTATTCATATAAACAAATGCATAGGAATTTGTCCCGGTCTTATAATAAACAAAACCACCGAGGCCGATTCCCGTGGGAACGCTTAGTCATCAATATAAACAAACCCTACTCCCGATCACAACTCCCACCCCGTATCAATAAGAATTAACTTTGTAAGTAGAATAACTATTTAGAATTAGTCTCAGTAAAACCCTCAAAGACTGACATAGTCTCAGTAAGATGTTAACATAATGAGAATGAGTCTCAGTAAAACGTTTATATGATGAGCATAGTCTCAGTAAAACCCTCAAAGACTGACATGGTCTCATAAAAACCTAAGACGAGCATAGTCTTAGATGAATCTTAAATCGACCAAGTAACGAATAAAGTTATGTAAAACCAATTGAATTATTTAATTCCCAACTACTGAGACTCCACAACGACAACACCAGACAATATTCCACTGTGTCCAGAATTCCATCCCTGGGACACGACAGTGGTATTCCTCTATAATATAATTATTGGTTGGAAATAATGAAAATACATTCAATAAATATTGTAAAAAACGTACAGTAAGTATATTTAGATTATAAAATACAATGTACAAAAATAGTTCGTAGAAATATACACAAAATTACAATTAAAAGAACAGTTTGTTTGTTTCAATAAAAAATATAAGTCTTATTTTGTTACAATATCTACATGTACAGAATAGAATATAAATGGACGCTACTCAAAAAAAGAATAATTTAATTAAAAAATAATAATCAAAAGAGAGACACACTAATGTACATGGGCATAAAGTAGTACATTAATAGTAGATGAAAAATAAAAGTAATAAGTGGAAGACATTTTAAAACAAATGCTCTTGCACTACTCGCATCGTCGATTGGAATTTATGGCTAAACATGGCATTTTTAATATAAACAATTACACTAGCGACTATATTTACATTATCAAAAATGAATATTTAAATGATAAATAAATAGAAGTGAAAGAATTAAGTAATTAGGTGTAATTTTCTTTTAACACAGCCGAAAAAGAATATATTGCATTTTTTTTGCTTTGTTTCGTCGTTTAAGTCAGTTAGTTAGGTTCGTCCTTTTTTGTTTTGTTTGTTTATCTTTAATGAATAATACTATAAGATAATTAATTTTTTAAGTCTTTAGATGCGCATTTCACTGTCTATGTTTTTGTTCCGCTGTGGGGCACGCACATGATGAGCGGTGGTCAAACCGGGTGTGACCAATGGTGAAATCGAAGGGCTTTTGGTGGCCAACGGTGAAAGGGACGGCGAGAAGCTCGGAGACATCGCTGCTGATCCGTGGTAAGCGGAGTTCGCGTCGTGACTAATTGGTGAACGGGGCAGAACATTCATTTGATTTAGATGATGGTTCGAACCACCTCTTGCATTCAGAACGGGTATGGAGCGCGGCGCAACGCTAGTAATCAATGGTGGCGGAACGTTTTTCACCTGGGAGTTCTTTGATTTGGCACTGGACCCACTGGCCCCAGATTGAACTGACACTGTGTCGTCCTTAAGGCGAGCGATTTCACTAAACACGTGCGCTAAGGGCTGGTACTGAGGGCCCCAGTCTAAAAGATAATCCCAATTATAACTACCGGCCAGTTCCTCCTCGCTGTGGACTATCGAACTCAATGAACCGTTCATCGAAGGTTGATGAGTCTGGGGCACCTCGTACGTACCTAATGTCATCACATGGTCCATCGTCACACCGACTGCATCGTCCGTGGAACTTGCACGATCACTGTTTGCAACGTCGTTCAGTTTTGCATAAAAATTAACTATGTCATTGTCGGTAGCCGTCTCCTCGTCAAAAATTAAACTATCTAATGGAACCTGGTTCAGTCTTGAGGTTTGAGGAACCGCAGCATTGTTCACTATACCCAAACGAGCTAAATACTCTTGAGTATTCCTCACGCTGACGTCTGAAAGATTATCATCATCGTCATTCTGTCTATGTATTCCTGAATCCCTTTGTAGTGGACCTTCGTTGATCATTCTAATCTCTTCATCGTCATTATCATCACCGTCTTCTGCCGAACCTCTTCCACTCGACCCAGATTGCTCACTGCCTGATAACTCAGAGGTAGTTGCAGCTCCCGAATTCGAACTTGCAGCAGCTCCATACGGAGGTATTTCATCATATTTAGGAGGAGCAAATTGAGCAGCGGCATTCGACCTAATTGGAATCGTATCGAAAGCGCTTGGATCGACATAATTATTTGTCGTAACAGTTTCCTGGCTCAAATTAGGTTTATTTACTTGTCTGTTTCTCTTATTTTTCATGTGCAAGAACACGAAAATCGCTCCGAAGGTCAAAATCAGCAGAATAACACCGATCAACAAACCTAATGCCCAATCAGTAATTCCAGAATTCGTAGATTTATTTATTGCCGAGTTCATTGTAAAATCGTTCGCGGAATTTACGGAAATTTCCACGGAAGATGAATTCGTCAAAGATTTTGGCCTGCCCGAACTCGCAGTTATGGTCAAACTTATTTTCTCGCCTAAAATTGCAGTTTCAATTTTCTTCTTTACCACAATGTCTCCCGTTGTTCGATTGATCTTCAAATAGGTATGTTGAGTTGATAATTGGTACACGACCCTTCCATCAGGTCCTTTGTCGCGATCTGTAGCTGTCACACGTCCAATAACATGACCAGCTGACAAATATTTAGTGCTGGATATGAAGAACTTGTAGAGGCGCTCAGTGAACTGTGGCGAGAATTCATCTCGGCTCTCGATCTCGATTCGTACCTTGACGTTCGAGAACTTGTCTCCGGCGTCTGACGCTTTGATAACAAATATATAACGATTTCTAACTTCATAATCGAATACGGCGTTAGTTCTCACTAATCCGGTACTAGCGTCGATCGAGAAGAGTTTCCATGCATCATCCACGTAAATGCTGTTGGACACTCCTACTATACTATAGTTTAATGTTCCAAATATTCCACGATCTAAATCTATTGCGTGAGCGGTAAATATGGTAGAACCAATTGGCTCATTCTCTCCAACAAACTCCAAGTACTCGGTGACGGGGAAATTCGGACCGTTGTCGTTGCAATCAATTAACTTAACAATGAAAGTGGTTAATGCGCAAAGCTGACCACCGTCACACGCTTGAATAACCAACGTATATTCAGTTAGTCCGATATCGTAGTCCAAACCACCTTCAATGATAATGTTACCGGAGTTGATGCCAAACAATCCTTCGTCATTGCCTGAAGTTATTTCATAAGTTACGTGACCATTTTCTCCTTCATCTCGATCAATAGCCGATACTTTTCCAACGACCGAGTTAATATCTTGATCTTCCTTAACTTCGACTTCGTAATTACCTTCTTCGAAAACAGGGATGTTATCATTAACGTCCAAAATCGTAAGGGTTATTCCAACACTCTCAGTTCCGGCTAATAATTTTAATAAATATTTATCTCTCGTCTCTCTGTCAAGCTTTTTCAACAGAACTAAATTCCCATAACTAATGTCAAAGTTTCCATCTTCGTTGCCTTCGACGATATAGTATACTAATTTGTCGTCAACTAATTGAAGCAGGTTAGAACCTAACGTGGCATTTTCGAATAATTCAAGTGAATAGTCCTTCTTGTAATCACCACTTTGACTACTCGAGCTGCCACTGAACTTGATCCTTACAACGGCGATAGAATGAAGACGAGGTTTCCCTTGATCTTCAGCTTTAACACTGATATATAAATTGTCTGCGGTAGATACGTTGCTTTGATTCACTTTCAGTATACCATCAAGTGCTCCAATGCTGAAGCCATGCACCGGATTGATTAAAGAATATTTGATGTTTGCGTTATCGCCGGTATCATCATCGGTTGCATTCAGAGCTAGTAAATCAATGATGTTGTTCGAATTACCACTGGGTATAGTCACTTCGTATGCAACTTGAGCGAACATAGGCTTGTTGTCATTAACGTCGGTAACTTTAATTGTTAACGTAGTTTTAGCTTCATGGGCCATATCGGATGCCATAATCATCAGACGGTATTCTTGTCGAAGCTCGTAATCCAAATGGCGCGTCAGGATAACCTTCCCACTGAATCTGTCTATGCTGAACGTCTGCAGAACCTCGTTGTCAGTTTCAGATGCAAAATCGTAGGTAAGAGCTGGGTTTGTATCCACATCATTTGCAGTAACCGTTGTCAAAACCGTTCCAACTTCGGTAGCTGAAATAGAAAAATATGTTTAATGAAAATGCCCTGCAATTATTTTTTTGTATATAGCAATACCTTCGGTTATAGTGATTATACTATGTGGAGGAAACGTGGGCTGGTTATCATTAATATCGATAACATTAATACGAATTCTTGCAGTACCAGTCATCTGTGGAACTCCCTCATCCGTGGCAATTACCGTTAATCTGTACGTCTCACGAATTTCTCTATCCAATACAATGTTTGTTACCAATCTTCCACTGAATGCAGGTTCAAATTTGAAAGTGTTATCGTGATTGCCGTCCACAATATGGTAAAGCACCTTTGAGTTTTGCGCTTCATCCGCATCATAAGCTTTGGTTTCCAGAACAAACGCCCCTTTAGAGTCGCCTTCAAACACCGAGGCCGTGTACTGCTGTTGCGTGAATTTTGGCGCATTGTCGTTTTGATCCAGCAAACGGATATTCACGTTGCAATAACCTCGAAGGTTTGGATTTCCTTCAGTGCGAGCACCAATGACTAAGTGAATCTCTTTGTGTAATTCATAATCTAAATATTTTGGATCTCTAACTTGTAATATGCCGTTTTCAGCATTAACAACAAATATATTCTCTTCGTTCCCGGTTCCGAAAAAGTAAACAATTTTCTGTCTGCGACCATCTGATCTGACAGCCGATACTTGGAGTACATCTCTAAATTGTTCCGTATTTTCCGTAAGGACGACATCATATGTCTCGTTTTGGAACTTTAGCTTTGGGAAGTTTTCCGGTATATCTCCAACGGTGATTTCTATAAGACCATTCGAACTTTGCGGTGGATTGCCTTTGTCCGTTGCGATAACATTCAGGTTTAAAATTTTACCATTTTCGCTGGCCAAACTCTGCGTGGCACTTAATATACCGGTATTTGGATTGATCTTGAATTTGCCGTACTCATCGTTTAGACTATACACAATCTCAGAGTTCGTTCCTATATCTAAATCTTTAGCGGAAACTCTCAGAAGAGATTGTCCTGGCTGGATGTAAGCTGGTACCTTTTCTTTGAACGGATACTGAGTAAATATTGGCTTATTATCATTAACATCTTCTATAACTATCTTCACGGTGACATTCTGTGATCTGGCGTTGTATTTCCCGCTGTCTGTTGCGACCACTTGAAAATTGTACTCGGCTTTAGTTTCCCGATCAAATAATCCCGCTGTAGTTATAATTCCCGTTTTATTATCGATCCTGAACAGCCATTGGCTCTCGTTTGCCAAGGAATAAATGATTTTTGCGTTGAATCCATTGTCCGCATCGGTTGCCTTTACTTTTAGAACTGAAGTATCAACGGGGACATCTTCATTAATATTCGCCGTATACAACATACTATCAAATTTAGGATCATTATCATTTAAATCCTCGACGTAAACGGTAATATTGCAGACGCCTTGCAACTGAGGTCTTCCTTTATCTTGGGCTATTATCGTTAGGTGATATCTGGCGTGGCTCTCGCGATCCAAAGATTTTGCACTTAGCTCTCCACTACTTGGATTGATGTTGAATTTATTGCCCACATTTCCACTTGTTATGCTATACGAGATTAAACCGTTACTACCCTTATCTGCATCACTTGCAACAACTGTATGAATTACGGCGGGGTTTCCATTTTCCGGAACCACAAGGCGATAACACGATTTCATCGTAAATTCAGGCGAATGGTCGTTAACATCGTCGACTGACACTCTTAATGTGGCCATATCGTAGTGGTTGCCGCGCGATGCGTCGAAGGCGTAAATGGGAATCGAATAGAATTCCTCGGTTTCTCGATCTAACGCTTTCTTCAGATTCACAACCCCCGAAAACTTATCGATTGCGAACGTGTCATCAGTCACACCGATGGGAATGTGAAATGTTAAATTACCCTCTGAAAATTAAAACAAAAATTAAATATTTAATCCATATTATATATTTTTTAGAATATAACTAACCTCGTCCATTCGACATACTCTGAGCAGAAACTTTTGTAACGTACGTCCCAACGGTAACATCTTCGGACACCCTGGCAGAATAAGTTGGACTCAAAAATCGGGGTGGGCTTTCCAAAGTGTCTTGCACTGCCAATTTGAAAGTTTCGTGCACATATTTTGATGGTATACCATGGTCCATAGCTGTGACATTAATTTGGAAAATTTTAACCGTACTCAACGGTTTTGCTAAAGTAATAATGCCGGTTTCGTATCCCATCGTAAAGGAACCATGTTCATTGCCATTAGAAATCATGTAGGTGACCTTGCCATTCTCATCATCATCCAAGTCAGTTGCTAATATTTGGCCAACTGGCATTCCTATTCCCAGCGATGAACTGAAGTATATCTTCGAATTGCTCGGCAACACAAATTTTGGCGCATTGTCGTTAACATCTCTCACTGATACAATCGCGGTAACAGCTGTAGATAGTCTCTCGGAAACGTTCAGGCATTGGTCGGTGGCTTGAACTATCAAGGTGTATTGCTTCAAACTTTCATAATCCAAGCTCTTCTTGACGAGTAGGTTTCCAGTTAACGGATCTATTTGAAAGCACCCGTCTTCTGGAAACTGCTTAAGCAGTTTGTATTTCAGGTTTCCGTTGCTACCAGAGTCCGCGTCATTCGCCGTGAAATTGAAAACACTAACGCCAACCATCACATCTTCATCCACTTGAATTTCAATTGGATCTTGTGACCAAACTGGGAAATTATCATTTACATCCAAAATATCGACACGCACTGTAACGGCACTACTTTGCGGATTGTTCATCGCACTTGTGTCCAATGCTGTGACCTCCAATCTGTACTCTGGTTGCAGTTCTCTGTCAAGTTTTCTTGCTACGACCAGGGATCCTGTTGAGCGATCAATATCAAATGCATCGGGAACAACATCGGAAATCGATGAATTTAACGTGTAAGTTATTTGCCCGCTGGAACTACCTAAGATGGCGTTTTCTTCGTTTGATGAATACGAGGTAACCACTGATCCCACCACATGTCCTATTTTAACATCTTCGCGAACCTAAAGCAAAACAAATAAAATAATTAAAATTAACTCTTTTAAATGTTTGATATATATACGAGCATACCTCGAACACTAGACTTGAGCTGGTAAACGTTGGTGTGTTATCATTAAGATCTAATACTTTTATACGTAATGTCCGGACTGTTTGTTTAGCAGGCATTCCACCATCCGTAGCAGCCACAGTTAAACGATAGATAGATCTTTCGTCGTGGTCCAAGTATGCGTTTGTTTTAATAACTCCCGTTGTAGGATCAATGGTAAAGACACCATCAGAATCCCTATTATTTAGTAACTTGTAGGTAATCGTGGAATTGTATCCTTTGTCAGCATCTATGGCTTTGACTCTAACAACTTCAGTGCCTGTTTGCAAATCAAATATATTAATTCCAATAAATCTAAAATGGTTTAATGACAAACCTTGAGGTTGTGCTTCTCGCACACTGACATCATCTTCTTGAGGATCGACTATGTCCGGAGCATTATCGTTAACATCCAACACTCTAATTTTTAAAGAAATTCGTGAATTTCTCACTGGTACGCCCATATCTTTGGCTTCAATTATCAAATCATAATATTCCTTCTGTTCCCTGTCTAGGAAATCCTTGGTGGTAATTTCTCCTGAAAATACAAATTTGAACGTTAAATATGACTATAGCTCGTTTTACATTTTTCTCAATTACCTGATATTGTGTTCATTTGAAAACTCGTATTTCCTGGTATGAGGAAATATCGTACGGTTGCGTTGTTTCCCATATCTTTGTCAGTAGCTTTAACTGTACCGACGTAGGCTCCTCTAGGTAAATTCTCCTCGACACCGAATTCATAATATTCCAATTCAAATTCGGGATCGTTGTCGTTTGCGTCGAGAACGGAGATGGTTACTTTAGTAGTTGCACTCTCTGTAGGTGTTCCATTGTCAGTCGCCACAACCGTTAAATCGTAGCGATCTTTCGATTCTCGGTCAAGAGTTCCACGCAGATACAGCCAACCACTGTTTGGAAATATCCCGAAGACCGAAGAATTCGAGGTATTTTGTAGGCGATAAGTTAAACGGGCATTATTTCCAATGTCGTTATCTACTGCCGTGACTTGCAGAATCTAAAATAAAAGAGAATTTAGTACTTCCTTCTATTATTCGCGATCTTTTTTCTGCTTTGCTTAACTAACCTGAGCATTGATGGAGAGAGTTTCTGGAACTTTGGCCTCGTATTCCGTTCGTTCAAAAACAGGTGCATTGTCGTTGACGTCCTGAACTTCAACGGTTACGGAAAGATTCGCGGACAGTGATGGAACTCCGGTGTCCGAGGCTGTAATTGTTAGTTTATGGCAACGCGTCGTTTCGTAATCCAAACGACGAGAGAGTTTCAGGTGGCCTGATTTAGGATCGATCTCGAATAATCCACCGCTCATCCCCACGATTTTATAACGGACAATGCCGTTTTTACCAGAGTCTTTATCCCGTGCCTGAGCCTCGTACAGTGTCGTTCCAATTTCGACATTCTCTGGAACCGAGATTCGAACCATGTTCGATTCGAATTCCGGCGTATTGTCATTAACGTCTTCGATTTCTATATTCACCTGCGATTTCATTCAGATCGTTAATAAACTTGCAATTGCTTATTGCTTTTTTCAAAATAATACCTGAGTATGTCCATATACTGGAGGGTCGCCGCTGTTGGCTTGGATATTCAGAAGGATGCTAGCTCTGTGTTCGTGATCCAGGGTGGCCGCAGTTCGAATCGTTCCAGAAATTGGATCGATTCGGAAATATCCATCGGGATCTCCCGAGTAGATGGAGTACCTGACTGAATAGTGATCACCTATTTATAAATGTGTTTCCATTAATTCCAAATAAAAATGAGCAATATGAGTAGCGGAATAGAGGCAAGTATCAAACGGTGACAGTAATTAATAATAAATAGTAAGAAAGAAAGTGAACTTCGTTTAAACTAATTTATTTACTAAACTAATTGGACCGGTGGATTGTAGGTAATGTGGGTAGGCCTGGTCTGGCTTTGTTTCCTGCACAGAAGCAGTTTATTGAAGTTAAATGGAACAAAAGAAGCCGTACAGGATAAAAGAAACTTATATAAATAAGGTCCGTCCGTCCGTTTGTGTTTGTGTGCGACGTCTGGGTATGAGTGCGGATAGTATTCTGGTTAATTAGCATGCGGTTGTCGAGGAGTCGACGTCGCCCGGGATTGAAGGAAACGGGGGCGGGCGGGGGTTGATTTGCATGCGAACCACATGTGAGTAGCGGCTCTGCTAAACCCTAGAAGGGACCCGAAAAACTATGGTCCAATTATTTTTGCGCGTTGAAAGGAAGAAGAAAAGAAGAACAAGAAGAATGAGACGGCGGCGACATTTCGGTAGTATGCTAAGTGAATGCTTCTCGGGGCATTGTTTTCCTGCCCCGATATGCGTCTCATGCCATTCCTTGACACACACGTATACACACATATGTATATACATATATATATGGGGACGAAGACAGAGAAAGAGAAAAAGAGCCACCAGCAGTACCGAAATTTCTTTTGACAGATTTTCTTTTAAATCTGAACGAACCTACCGCGCACATCATAATGCATAACAACATTTTCAATTGAAGATTTATCATTGATTAAATAATGGAATTTTGACGAGAAGTAGTAAAGTTAAGGATAAGTGAGGGTTGAATTTACGCTACTTCTTCTGACCGTTCTCGTTTCGTGGTTTTTTCTTTTTCGTTACTTTGTTTCGTTCCGTCTCTTTATTCAGGTATTCCCTTTGTGACTTGTTTGCGGGGCCCAGGTGTACCGCGAAACGACGAGTGACATCCAATTTATTGCATCGGTGAAAAGTTGCCGTTTGAAGCGGCGCAGAGACTCTCCCCAAACTGGAACTGGTCATGGGAGATTTCGGCTGCGACTCGCTCTCACAAACAGACATACACAAACACACACATACGATCGCACACAATTTAAGCAACATGGACAGACGGGAAGACTTTAATAAAAATGAATCTTCGCAAAAGGTTGTTGGTAGGTTGGTTGGATGGTTTGATCGGATTGGTTGGTTTAGTTTGGTTTCATCGTTGAAGCAGCATTTAAACTTACCCGAATTTCCTAATGCCGCCTGAACGGAGCCGACGAATGTGTTCTTCATTGCATCTTCTTTGACCCTGAACGTGTATCTGGCGTGCTGGAAAATCGGCGGCTTCTGGGCACTATCTATGACGCTAATGAAGACCTCGGCATCTGCCGATGATTTTAATCCGCCACCATCCGTTGCGGATATGTTCAGACGATGGTAAGGGGAGGAGCGTGAGGACAAGTGTCCTGGCCGAGTTACGAATATTTCCCCGGAATTTCTGTCGATGCGAAATAAATTCGCATCATTGCCGGCAACAATTTTGTATTCCAAAGAACCGTAGCGGCCTGAATCTGGATCGGTGGCCGCCACAATTACCACAGGAATTGACGCCGAAGCGGCAGCGCCTTCGCGCAAAGACACATTGTATTCGCGCGGATAAAAAGCCGGATGATTATCATTCACATCAGACACCTGAATTTTAACCATCGCCGTCGTACTTAACCCACCTAGAAAAGTCCAAGATAGCATGTCATGAATTCGCACGCCTCCTTCGAAGGTCCTAAACATTCTTACCTCGATCGGTGGCGACCACTGGGAACTCGTACACATTCCTGGTTTCGTAGTCGAGCGCCGAAGAGATGCAGATTTCTCCTGTACCGCTTCTAACTTCGAATTCCTTAAGTGTGGCGAAACCATCGCCCATCGTGTAATTAACCATAGCATTGACCCCGCAATCAGGATCAATCGCTGAAACCTGCAACAAGAAGCAGATAGCATATTTTAAATATAACTCTCATTTGAATTCAATTTCATTCCGTTTGCGCAAAACGCTCGATTCGCGTATGCGTGCATGTGTACAAGAGAGAGTGCAAGAGATATATTAGCGGAGTGCGACACATTGGAAGGCCCACGCTGCCGTCTATCGCTCTTCCATCTAGTGTATGACGGGTCAATAGCCTCGTGCACGTCGAAACCACGGACATTATACAACCAAGAAAAGCAAAAGGACAAACGAACGTACATACATAAACCAAGTGTATTTATGCTTAAGACGCTTTTAATTAGAATCACGACTAATTAAACTACTTCCGAAACAATAAACGCTTGTAACCAGCATCTTGCCTCTGGTGGAAATTTAAATCACAGTTGGTGTCATAAACTGCGCGACTGTGGTCAGCCTGAATTATTCCCAATTTACAAAATAAAGAACAAACAACAAACAACATTACATACGCTCCTTCTTAATTACATCACTATTCAATGAAGCAATTACTGTGTTCCATCAATATTCATGTTCAAACTCATAAAGGTTTCCAATTTGACATTTCAACATATTTGATGAATCAACTAATTTGATTGGTGATCAATAATGACAATTTGCTATATTGAAATAAATGGCAAAAGGAAAATTATTAGACGAATGTTAATCATTTTATGAACTTTTGAATTCAAATAAAACCTAAGAAATGTAGAAACTGAAATACTTTTGATAGGTAATCGGAGTAAGTGCTAATACTGTATTGTCTGATTTCCCATTTTTGGAAATGCTTCTCATAGGAGATGCAAATTCTTCACTGCTTCGGACATTTCGTTCAGCATTCTTTTTCTTTCAACTCTTCAGTGTCCTCTTGGAGTTGTGTGTGTGTGTAAACTCGTTGATGTTGAATTATTTTCGGTTTCGGTTTATATTTAAATGAGAGATGCGCGCGCCCGATAGCACCGACCGAAGAGAAGAAGAGAAATGCCGTCGTCGTCCATTGCCCGGCTCTCTCCTCCTCGTCCTCCTCTTCTTCATCCTTCTTGATGCTCTCGCATAGCCTCGCGTTCGGTCAATCGACGGATCTCTAATAAATCTATATAAAGTCTCATATATCCAAGTGCGAACAGCTAAACATACAAACGAATTGGTCGAGAAAGAAAGGAAAGAGGAGGATAAAAGAGAAGAAGAAGTAAAAGAAATGTTTAAATATATATAGGTATAAGAATTTGGATGCCGGACCGTTACGAAATGTGAGCGTTCACGTTTTACAATGTTTTACATTTTTTAAAGCAAAATAATGAAGGAATTTCGGCGGACGAAGGGATGCGCAATAAAGTTTAGGTCGAGTCCAATGAAGGATTAGGTATTTAAGGTGGCGGAAGGCGGAATGCGGCCGGCGATCGGAAGGTACTCTTTTTTTTTCGTGTATTTCTCAGTTTTTGTTCCCTTCTTTCCCTTTTTTTTCCCTTCTTTCTTTCTCCGGAGTCGCGAAATTTATTATCGTTATCGGTTCCGATTTGCTCGAGGCGGGTGTAATGATGTGCGTGATTGCGTCGAAACGGGGGTGTGTCTGCACGGTAGCTGTTGCCCCGGAGCGCACACGAGGTGCGCTCACCAACAACTACAACCTACCCGGATCTTCGCTCGCTTTTCCTTCTTCCTTCCTTCGGACCATATTCCCGTTTTCGACTTTCAGATAGAAGCAGGATGACCGCGCGCGTTGCCTATCATCATCATCTGAACCACCGTCATCACCATCATCATCGTGATGGAGATCATCACTGGGACTCCTCTCTTTTCGCCACAACAGACGGATCATTTTCATAACTGGTTCTGACCGTGGTGCGCTCTCCGCAAAGAGAAGAGCAGAGATCAGCACGCAACGCGAAACCAGGACACCGGGGCTCTCTCAACCATCACTCTCTCAACCTATTCGAGAGAGAGAGAGACAGAAAAAGACAGAGAAAGAGTCCGTAAAGCCGCTTTCGCTTTTCATCATCAAATTTTACTTTTGCCGAAATTAATTGCGAGTGCGGAAAACTCCCCGACGTAATTCCCGTCGCATAGATAGATACAAAACGTACAAATATTTACCGAATCTCTCCTCCTCGTATACAAAAGACAAAAAATAAAGACCATTGTATACTTTTGATAACGTCTCTCTTAAATCATCTATATTTAGCGCAACTATAAAACGATTAACTTTTACGAGAACCGAATGTACGCAATGACCTCAACACACCATCAATACAATTACGCAAACAATTAACAACAGTCCTAACAACCGAAAGAATATTATCATCGCTTCGAAAATGCGAACGGTTTCATCCCTTTCATATTTGTAACTATTATGTTGTTGTCTAGTAGACACATCAAACTTGAATAATATTTGTGTTAATTTTATAAAATAAATATATTTTATACACTAATTTCATCATGACATCAAGCAAACAAGACTACTTAGCCGTATTATAAACATGCACAAATATACCAGCACAACATCTGTAATGTTATGAGTTATTATAATTTACATTCAATATCAATATAATTTTACTACAGTTTCTATTATATTGGAAGTTCTGACTTTATGACCATGACCTTAAATTGTGTACATTATGTGAAATTAAGTGTTTACAAGATTTGCTACTCTAGAAAATTGTATGCTTTTAATATAAGTGTCATTCAAAATGGCAAAGGAAGCCGGTTACCAATTCAAGTACCGAACTACTGATTTATTAGAAAAAGTTGTATGTTACATAATTATATGTATATTATTAAGCACGGTAACGATGCTTAATAAAGAGTGGTTAATTTTATGTGAAACATAAATTATTAGATATTTGCGAAGGGTACAAAAATGATGCGACGAAGAATATAAAGAAGCACACTCACGGTCGGTCGGGAGAACAAGATTTAAGGATCTTTCGTAACCGCGTTGTATTTATTTTTACTGCCGGCATTTTTAGTACCTTTTTTATTTATTACACGGCGTCCACGGCGTTGTTACTTTATTTATATATTTTTTATACGCTTTTTGGTGAATTTATATATTATTACTACTATTTTTTCTTATTATTATTATTCCTATCATCCTCGTTTTATATTGAAAACAATAAGTCAAAAATGGAGAACGATCGTCGTCATCGTTTTTCGGACCACGAAAAGAGAAGAGATGACACTAAAACGAAGGTAACACAAATCAAGTATCCGCCTTGACTAGGACAGTAAATCATTCAGAATTATCTCCACTATAAAATCGAGGAAAGTGTGTATGCACATAGGAAAACAGTTTAGTTAAATTTATTGGACTCCTTTAAATTTTTAATTGAGTTGCCGTAACCGTTGAAAATTTTCCTCTCCTTTTGGGTCCCTGTAATATGTAAAGTGGATGGTAATGCGTGCATGCATTCCCAGTTTCGGGTATAAGTTTTGCGCCCCAAAACCTTATTCAAATTGGACAACCCGGTCCGCAATAAATCTCGCTCTCCGTTTGCTTTATTATTTCGCTTCTCTCCAAACTCTTTGCTTTATTTATATTTTATCTTTTTTGTCCGTATTCTTCTCTTCCTTTTCGTCCATCCCGTGAATTTTTCTAACAAAGACGTAATAATTTTAGTTGGTGCCGTTTAAGGTTTCTCGTTCGAAAAATAAAAGGACACCAGGGGAAAAGAACAGAATGCTGTAAATCAGGACGTAATCAATTATTGCGAGCTCTCTCCAGCGCGTTCGCATCCTGTGCCATCCTTTTCTCTCGTAAATTATTGCTAATATTCTTTAAACAGAACTCTTTTTTTTTATATATTATAACAAAAGCATGCACTTTCCTTATCTGCCTAGAGATAACAGGCAAGATTTTCGCACACACGCTTTTCCCCCCGAAATTAAAAATGGACAGGATAAAAAGGCGCGATCTAAAGGATCGGTAGCGCAGTCGAAAGTTCGAGGCGTCCCAAAATTGAAGAAAGCGTAACATCACCGCCCAAAGATGGCTAACAGGATCGTACAATTCTTAGCTATGGTCTCAGGTATGGCTTTTACAAATTAAATTAATAAATGTGTTTATAATTTGCTTTCATCGATGTTTAGGTTCGTTCCTGCCTTTAACGTGCGGGATCAATTTGGGTTGGCCGTCACCGTTTCTGCCAAAACTGCAGGAACCTGACTCGCAGATCCCTATGAACAGTGATGAAGCTTCTTGGGTGGCTGTTATGCCTCTAATTGGAGGACCTTTCGGAGCTTTCTTAGGCGCTTTATTAGTCGACAAGTTGGGTCGCAAAAATCTTTTGCTGACCCAGGGCCCTCTAATAGCACTCTCGTTTCTGATCATGGCGTTCTTCAATAATATTTGGGTCCTCTGCGTAATCCGATTCATTGTTGGTTCGGCGGAGGGAGCCATCTACACAGCGTTGCCCATTTATTACGGGGAAATCGCCGATCCGAAGATACGAGGAATATTAGGAAGTTCGCTCGCAGTTTCGGCGTTGATGGGTAACTTATTAATCAACGTAATTGGTAGTTACCTATCGCTGTTCTGGAGCTCGATCATCAGTGGAGGATTTGCTTTAATTCACTTTTTCACGTTCGTGTGGATGCCGGAGAGTCCTTACTTCCTAATTAAGAAAGGATTGCTGGAGGAAGCTAAAGCTAGCCTCACCAAATTGAGGGGCGAATTCGATACGAAAGAGTTCGATGAGATTAAGAATGCTGTTAAGAGGCAAGAGGCGTGCGAAAAGTCAAAGTTTTTGGATCTGGTCACGGTGAAAAGTAATAGGAAAGCAATGGGAATCTTCATCATCCTCACTTTAACCAACAAGGTAACTGGTATGACCCCGGTTATGTTCTATACCGTAAAGATCTTCACTGAAGCCGATGGTATTTTGGATCCGGTATCTTCGGTCTTCAGCTTCAACATGGTCGGATTGATCGGCACCATTCTGGCTTTGTTCATTATAGATAGGTTCGGAAGGAGACCGTTAATGTTGTTCTCCGCTTTCGGATGCTGCTTCGCGCTTCTTGGAGAGGCAATATTCTTCATGATCAAAATATACCTAGAGGAATACTTGGAGTACGTTCAGTGGTTACCACTCGTGAGTCTGATGGCTTTCAATTTAATCTTCTGCTTGGGGTTGGCCTTCGGTCCGGTCCTATTCTTATCGGAACTATTTCCAACTTCCGTAAAAGCTAACGCTCTGGGTGCTGCAGAGACCATTTCCGTCACGTTGGGGACTGCAATCTCTAAAATATTTCACTACCTGACCGACGCTTACGGCATGGTAGTACCCTTCTGGTCTTTCGCCGTCTGCACAGCCTTGGCCGGTTACCTCATCTTCCTTGTCGTACCAGAGACGAAGGGCAAAACTCTTGAGGAGATTCAGCTGGACCTAATCGGACAGCGCGATGATGAGCATAGGGAGAAGCAGGGGCAGAAAGTTTAATGAGTGTGTGAGTTAGTGTGTCCCGTGTAAATAAATAATGTTAATTATAATTTTAGTGATATGTAAAGTGTGTTATAATGAGAGGTGTTACGTTGATGGATGTTGGTAATAAAGTAAACGGTCACATCTCAATCCCGGGGCCGTTTGCTCTCGCGCTATTTAGGACCGAGACGATGTTAAGTGCCTGGACTTGTTTAGATAACGTCCCCGTGTTCGGTCGCTCTCTCTAAAGTCCCCCACAAAAGCTGTCCTCTTTTTATATATATATATACATACATATATACGTATATATATATTTACTTTGTCCCCCCGTATCAAATTAAGAGAAAAAGAAAAAAAATGAAACCGAAGATAGATACACCGACACTTAAAACAACCTCAATCTTAATCTCAATGCATGTACCTTGTCTCTTTACTTTTTTATATACATATTGTTTCAATAAACTTCGTTTTTTATATTGTGAAACAATTATTTCAACTTCCTTTATCATCCTTATTATTATTACAATTGACTGTTCTTTTTTATACTTTATACCAATCTTCTTGAAGTGGCCAAGTGTGCTTAACGAAAGAGATTGCAAGTTGCACAAAAAGCAATATATTTTATTTCAGAAAATCAGCAAATGCATTTATTAAATTTGCATTTATATATATTCCACAAATTGTCTTATAAAAATAAATAATAAGCAACTATTATTATTCACTAAATCCAGTTGAATACTGGAAAAAATAGCAGATAAATGGATATATAATAAATATATAATCTCTAAAAAATAGAACAACAATTGCTTTTGTAAATAATGTAATTATTGTTTTCTGTATTGAATCTAGTGTAGAAAGATGTCCTTAGCAGACATAAGGACGTACAATAAAAGTAATTGAAAGGCTTACATCCGAAGAGCTGATATTGGTATAATATTACAGGATCGCATGCGAACGGACATTAATAATAAATTACAATATTAAGCCAACATTGGCTCAGTAATGGTATCTCGCTGTTACTCTCTCGTTGGTGCGTTCATTCATAATTGCCCGCAAGCGGAACGGACGCGGTGCGAAATTCTTTACGGCACACGCACGGCCCGAAAAAGACGAAGAAGACGACGACGACGTCGGAGGAGGAGGAGGATAAAAAGAGGGTGGTGGAGAAGAGGAGAAGGTAGAAGACATGAAAGTAAGAACAGAGAAGAAGGAGAAGCGATCCCTCGACTCGACAGAATGTTAGGTAACAAATGGATCAGGTCGTATTGCGATCGCCAGACACCTTACTTCTTTACCATGGCCTGCCATACGGGACCCACCGAAATGATCCATTATCTTTGCTGGCGCGACATAAACATTTACCAGTATTTCAATGCAACCGCAGCATTACTAACTCTTTAACATTTCGTGACTTAACCCACATATATATTCACCTCAACAGGCATGGTAATATCATAAATAGATCAATCTTATAATTTTAACTTTTTTCATGTACACATTGGACCCTCATCTTCGAACAGTATGATGTTTAAAATTCTTGAAAAATCGAACAGAAAAAAATTTAATTCCTGTTACAAAAATCCAAAAAACACATTGTCGCATTCTTTTCTGCATTAAAAAATTAAACTAAAACAAGCGGACTCATCGATTCATTGTTTGTTTTATCTTCCTGATCTGATAATACAAATAAATCCTATGTCAAGATCCGTGCTCTCGTCATGTGTTGATACTCTAAACCCAAATACAATTTATTAAACTGTCTCGGACAGTACGTAAATTTCGTGTAGCCGTAATCCTGCTTGGATCAACGTAATTTGTGAATTGTCCCTGTTAAAACAACAGTTTTGCTAATCTTATCTCGACAGAAACGGTTAGAAGCGCAAATATTTATTTGGTAATTCAGGATCCGCGTCTATTAACACATTCCGAGAAGATAATTTATGTAATCTAAAACAAAATACAAACTATTTATTTGTTACAATATTTAACTGAAAACTATCATAGTAACTACGACATCATGAGTGTAGTAAACAAATGTTTGGAATGATTCCAATTTATAAGTAAACGTAATTTCAAATAATAATATCTATTTTTCCGTTTATTACTTAAAACTTATTTTTTTTAAAGAAATCTATATTGCGCCTTCCAAGAATATATATATAAATATGTGTAATAAAAAAAATATGTATATATATGGTTTTATTTTATGGGAATTTTAATATGTTTCAATCAAATAAAATCTTCGAAAACTTTGGTTTTTTATTTTTATTGTTTTTAGTTGACATTATTTTTTTTTTAAATATTGAACTGAAGAATGACAAAATTTAAAAAATAAATTAAAAAAATATAATATTTGAAATCTAAAACGCAAGAAAATTTCTAAATTTAATATATTATGGATGTATTTAAATTGAATTGCATTAGAACTTATTTTACTCTAATGCACCTGGATATAAATATCCTCCAATATTCTGCACTACCGTTGACTTTATGTAAACGAGAAAGAAGAAGCATTTGAGAGCCATATGGTTAAAGAACAAGTGTCTTTTTATTGTTGTTGTTAGTGGTGGTGTTATTCAAATTGGAGATTATTAGAGCTACCATTCCAGCACGATAAATTCCGATTATTCTTAGCATTGGCGAAGGTCTCGGACACTATAAACAAGCATTAAAAAGCTGGTCAGCGCTAATAATAATGACAATAATAATAATAATGGTAATAAGGGACGAACGTATTTAAATATTTCTTATTTGTAATCCGGGGTGTCATGAAACAAACAAAAAGAAAAATGAAGCTAAAGAATATGAAACAAGAGAGAGAAGATCATAATCCGCTTGTTTATTTTCATCCACATTTTATACACTTAAGCCATGTTGTTCTTTATTTTTCAAAACCAAAAATAGAATCCACTTGTTTATTAGCTTAATTAACATATTATTCTTTTGCATTTGGTAGGAGGAAGATCCGCGCCCTTGGATTCGTATCGCGGCGCATAACACACATACAGCATCCGTCTCTCTCTTTGGCGAAGAAGAGGAATCTTATTCGCCAGCCTTTGCGTCTCTTCTCGCGTTCACTGCTGCAAGGAATCTCGGATCATAACTCAAGCAAGCATCCAAGATTTCCGTCAGTTCTAACCTCATTATGAATATGGTCGTTGTAAATCACTCTCTCGCGAAGAGCAGAAATAAATACGTACGAGAGTAGTACTAGAAGAGAAAGAGGAGATGAAGATGACGAACGGGTGGAACTAAATGCCTTTATGGCATTTGCAACACGCGGGAATCGCATTGAAAATCTCGGTCTAAAATAGTTTCGTACCAAAGTTGGTGGCAGGAATGAGCAGGGTAAAGACACCATCATCATCATATGCACGGCACAACCTCCACAACGAGTCGCGGTGTGCACGCTCTTTGTTTTCCTTTCCTAAATGATTAATTATTTCAAGTTTTTAGAAACTGGGCGCGCTCAATAACAACGGCTAAAAAATATTATGGTTTCTTTCGATCGTGTTCGAATACTGTTATAATAATTAACAACTTTAATTAATAGTATTGTATGCGTGTTGAGTCGAAAATAAATTACACGGCAAACGCAGGCTATTTAGGTAATGTGTTGCAACAGAGAAAACAAGGGGATCCATCATTTTTCCTTTCGCTCTTTCGGTCTCTCATTTCGATTGTGTTCCTCCGGCTGCCATCGAAAAAGTATCCAACTTCGAATCGCTTGACACACACGCAAAGAGTCCTTTTAAACAATTGACCCTTTTTCTTACCAAACAAAGGAGCTACCGAAATGCAAATAAAGAATGCTTGCTTCTATTCTACTATATAGATTATCAAATATAACACATAATTGTCTACCTGACAAGATCCTATCCAAATACAAATACCGATTTGGTTTAATGTATTAAATTCAACGTAAAATAAATGGAAATGTTTAATTTCTAATAATTTACAAATGTAATTTATTACGTAAACATTTATATGTAATTATTACTATTAATGATTTTTTTTATATTCGATAATAATTTAGGTATAAACGTTTAAAATAATTGCAAATTGCCTTGTTTGAATTACAAAAATAAGGCAAACTATTCAAATTGTATTTTAGATGTATTCATATGTAAGTATTTATTAATAAATTTGAATTTGTTTTATGTTTAAGAATAAGTTAGATGTGACGTTATTGTTATCACGTGCATCATGGATGTGGTAAACTTTATGGATTGATCGATGGTATTATTTATACCACGGTGTTACAAATCAGATAAAATGTAATGATTCTAAATCCCATCGCTGAAAGAGGTTTGAAAATGATGATAATAAAAAAAGGAAAGGAGAAGAGACGAAAAGAGAAAAGCCGTTCTCCTTTTATTTGATGACTTATCTTCTATCCCGAGTTGTCCGTTGCGGTGGGGTTATAAAAACGGAAATTTATTGTCCCATTTCAGAGAGAAAGAAGTTGTCACTAATAGGATGCGTGTTTCCGTGGAATGTAAATCATTCCACGTGGAACGGCGACGGTCTTCCAGAACTCCGTGAGTTCGCATTAACCGAAATACCTTGAGTTCGGGTTTTATGGGTTGCCTTTTGCAATTATCGACTAATTGTGTTGCTAATTCGTAACTTCAATTGCGGAAGACCATCTTAAGTGCAACGAGCAACAAGTCGGAGAGAGGTAATAAGGGAATGGATGGACGGACGGAGCTCTTCCATCATTATTGGAGAGAATTAGAATTAATTGTTTTAAGTGGTGAACTTTGCTTGGGAGGAGAGAAGCGTGGGGGAGGAAACGATTGTAAAGACGAAGCGAGACGATGCTGTTCGAAAACGGGAGAGGCTGCCGAATAAATAGGTGTAATTATGTTCCAAATGGAAAACGGATAGGTCGAGTTTTGTCTGTGTGTGTGGATGCGTATAAGAGAAAGAGAGAGAGAGACCAAGGAGGAGAGCTGTGTATTAATAAGAAATTCCATTGGTGTCGTAAAGTAGTAGGTTAAAAGAATTTAAATGGCTCAGGCATAAATATAGATTATTTTTTAATTAAAAAATATATCGATGCTTAAGAAATGTTTTTCTTCTTCCGAACGTAAAATCCATCTACATTGGATCCCCCTTATTCCGGCAAACAACAACAACAACATAATTCTCGAGTTTATGTTTATTTAAACAATAATCCTCGGACGGATTACACGGATCCGATGCACGAAAAGAAGAAGCGGAGGATTGGTGAAGACTTCGATGTGGTGCGATGAAGTGAGGAGGGAACTTGAAACGGGGACGTTCACAATCACAGTTGAACTGAACCCACGGACCTTTCAATAATTGAAGAGACCTAAAGCAATTCAGTTGAATTCATCGGAGAAAGGCGTAATTCAATTCTTCCGTTATTTCAATTCATTGTGTTACGACTCGAGA